ATATCTCTGTCTTGGATTGTTCCCTTTATAAAGGTGTAGTGACCTTTATTTCTCTTAATTATACTTGGCTTGAAATTCACTTTGTCTGTAAATAGAATAGATACCTCAGCTTTTTTCTGGGTTCCTTTCACATAGAGTATTGTTTTCCATCCCTTGACTTTCAGTATATGAATTTCTTTTTTAATTAAATGTGTTTCTTATAAGCAGCATAATGTTGGATCTTGTTTCATAATCCATTCTTCAAGTCTGTGTCTTTTGATTGATGGATTGAGATCATTTGCAATGATGGTTATAAAAATGTATTGACTTATCTTTGTCGTGTTATTTTCCTGTTGTTGGCTCTCCCCGTTTTTCCCTTCCTCTAATTGTTTGCCTTTCTTGGTGGATTCCTTCTGTTTGGGTTCATGGAGCTGTAGTCCTCATTATCTTTTTCTAGAATATTCTTCAGAACATTTTGCAGTGCCAGTTTACTGGTCATAAAATTCCTCAGATGTTCTCTGTCGTGGAAGTATCTTATTTATCCATCAAATTTGAAAGATAATTTTGTGGGGTACATCAATCTGGGTTGAAAGCTGTTTTCCTTTAGAACTTTGAGTACTTCACTCCAAGTTCTCTTTGACTTGAGAGTTTGTGCAGAGAAGTCAGCTATAATTCTGATGGACTTTCCTTTATAGGTGATTTGTTTCTTTCCTCTAATTGCTTTTAGAATTCTATTCTTATGTTGAATTTCTGGAATCTTGACTATGATATGCCTGGTTGTAGATATGTTTTTTATCATTGCTATATGCCTCACTTATGTGTACATCAAATTCTTTTTCTCTACCAGGGAAGTTTTCTGTCCTGATGTCTGTGAACATTTTTAAACATCATTTTATGGTATCTCCAGTTTGTTTATTGGTTCAAATTAATCTTAAGTTATTCTTGTTCATCTCATCTATCAGCTCCTGGATTGATTTCTCATGGTCCCTTGCTATTTTTTGAGAAATCATTATTTTTCTGGTTGCTAACTGCAAGCCTGGCTTCAATAAGGAGATCCTGTCTTCCATTGGCCTAACTTGCTTTGAATACTTTCAATGGAGTTTATTCTCTTGGATATCTTCTTGAATCTGCTTTATGGATTCCATTTCTTTTCTATGTTGATCTTCCATAATTTTCTTAAGCTCATCTATTTTGTGTGTGTGTGTGTGTCTGCTATCATGTTCCTAAGCATAGTGTGTATTTTGGTAATCTCTGTAGTTATCTGAGAGAATATTTCTGATTTCATTTTTTCCAGAGCCTCATTCAATTACTTTGTTGTTACCACTTCAGAGAGGCCTGGTAGGGGCTTTCAGATTGCCCTGCCTCATTGGCCCCTGGATTTGCTTTTGGAAAACTGGATGTCTGGGGTTGCATTTTGCTTAAGAGTCTTCTCATTTTATTTTCTCTCTTTTTTTTAGTTTAATACCTGGGGTGATGCTTGTAAGTTGCCTATGGTGGGCTGCTTTACTGGTAGTATTTAGGACCCTTACATGATGATTGCATCTCTGAGGTATCTTCCAGGTGTATCTAGTTTTTGAGTTTTGAATCTGTTGGAAGATCTTACCTCTTTAGTTTGTTGGAGATGAGAAGTTGTTGCTTGTTTTTCCTGGTCCCTGGTTCTTTAGCACTGTACCACCATGTTTCCTGCGACCCTAGTTAATCTTAGTCATGGAACACCATGACCAACAGCTATTTGCAACAATTATGTCAATTTTGGCTATAGTTGTGAGGGCCTAGAAAACAACAGACTGAGCTAACCCTTAATTGGCCACTTTTAGCCATATGAACTAGGTTTGTGATTATATAACAAAATGTAAACCAAACCAGATAATTATATGCAATATATAAGTCCATAATGTGTCAATTTTGCACTTGAGGGTTCAAATTTAAAATGGATTAAGGAGAAAATAGAGAAGTGGAAGAAGAGAAAGAGATAGAAGTAAGGTTTGAGGACCAAGGGGTTCATGCCAACTTGGGGAAAATGGTGCAGAAGACTGAAGGAAAAGAGAGATGGAACAGGTAAAAGAAAAAACATAACAAAACCACACCTACAAAGAGGTTAGGAACCACTTTTATACTCATATAAAAACAATGAAGGAGAAATAGAGAAAAGGAAAACAAACGGTCCACTTCCAGGATTCTCTCAGGGTTCACCAGTAAACAACCTGTGTAGCCCAAGTCCCACATGGTGCTGATCTATCCCAGCAAGCCAGCAGTTGCTTTATGGTGGAGTAGTGGATAACATCATTGCCCTGAGACCAGACTCATTGAGCTTGCAGCAGTCCAAGCAATTTCCACTGGTCTAGACCCAGCTGGGAGCTGCTAAAGGAAGCTGGCAGCAGTTCTGGGTTCTGGCTTATCCTGTCGGATTCCAAAATGGCTCCTGGCTAGTCACTGTCTCCCACAGGAGAGCTAAGTCTTCTGCACTCACTGCCACTCAGTGCAGTCCTCCATGTCTGCTGCTCTCTTCTACTGGCACATCTCAGATCTGCAGAGGCCTCCAGGGTCACCAGGCATCACCGGGCATCCCCAAATTCAAACAGCTCATGTCACACAGTGAGTCCTGCCTCAGGGCAAGGGTGCTGCTGGCTACCACCTTCTTCTTCCTTAAAGTTTTTCATTTCAGTCTCTGTGGGCTTTAATTTGTACTTCAGGTTTTTCCTGAGACCCACTTCCTTCCTTCCTTGTCTTCCTCACAATGCCATATTCCAGCATCTAAATAAACTTAAAGAACAAAAAGAATTCACAAGAAAATTCCCTCTTCCAAGTAAGCAGCAGACTGAAACTCCCTGCTTCTTCTGTCTTTAATCAGCAGAAAATAATTTGCATTAATCATAGACAAGACAAGACATTCCCAACAGCTGCTCTCTTTGATCTTCTCAGTGTTGTAAGGGCCCTGCCTTTGATTACTGTGTACTCATTAAGTTGCTTTGGATCTTTTCTTCAAAGATTCATGCAACTTTCCTCAAGGCAGCAAGCTTTCAGAAGCTCACCATTGGATTTTCCAGTTCTCAAGCCCCAAGGACATTTCCCAGTTAGATCTGCTGGTAATGAAGGACAGAGGAAGGATCCAGATGACATGCACTCATCTGTGGTCTGCTAAAAATCCCTGCCTTAGAGAGAGGGCCACCAGGATGGAAAAAGTTACTTCTGAGCCATAGGGGGTCCGCAGTTTACACTCCACATCCCAGTGCTGAGAGGCTTAGCTCTAGCCTCAAAAGGATTTTTAACCTACAGTGACTTAGATGTTCTCTCTAGAACTAAACCATTACTGTATCCCAAACCTGAAGAAACCACTAAGAGTCAGTCTACCTTCCCCACTGCGTCTGCCTAGGATCCCTGACACCATGCAAAAGGTCTCAGCCACTCCACAGTGGCTGGGAGAGCCCTCCTCAATCAGATCTCTCCTCTCTGGGGGAAAATCTTCAGAAATAAATTAATTTGAGCAGAAAAGGTCTCATTGCATTGAGACCTGGATTTCTGATCCTTGTGCTAATTGATATCAAGGCTCTCAGGTTGCCTCTGGTCAACTTCCCAACCAACTTCCCAACACATCATCGTCAGCGTAGGCATTTTCTGGTTAGTAATTTGATCATGGGCATTTATATAAGTAGTAGAGCCTGGTTAAAAGCTTTGTGTTGTATTCTGAATAAAGAACCTATCAGGAAAAAATCATAAAAAGTACACCGGCCCTTAGGTGGGGGAACCAGTTACAGAGGACAAACCCTCTCTAACACACGTTTTCTTGTAATTTTTCTCACCCATGATAATTAAATGTATGTGGTATATCAGTGTTGGTGTGTGTTTATACCCTCTCTAACATTCTGAAATATATTCCAAAGTATACGAAAACATCTCACATAGTTAAGGAAATTATAATAATATGCAAAATTATTAGAGAAACAAAATTATCCTTCACTTTACAAAAAAATTCACCACACACTTTCTTTAAATGAGCAGATTTCCTAAGTTCATCTCTAATAATATCTTCATGTCGTGTGCTTTCTTGAAGAATGCATTAATATTATAAAGATAGAAACATCTTTATTCTCTGAATCAATTACAAACTATTGTTGACGTGATCATCTGGCAGTTGAAAAGATTAGCCTGGGAAGGATATTACTGAGTCTATGCTAGGTATAAATTTTTAATTTTTTGTTTTTTAGCAACTTTTGGCCAAGTGTGTTAGACTAAAAGTTCACAGTTGCATTGGTTCTATTACAGAAATGATAGTTCAATTTTGCTAAATCATGAAATATTTTTTCAGAAAAGTACACGTGAACAAAACAAGTTTGGCCAAGTCAGGTTATAAAACCATGTTAAATCTCTAACAACAGTACCATTAAGGAGCTCAGGATGTAACTTGTCTAAAAGAATAAACCCCTAGAAGGGAAGTAATCTTAGTTAATGCACATGCAGTTTCAGCAGAAATATCATACCTGACCTTGTTTTTAAAAATTTCTGTCTAGTCGAGTCCAAACATCTGCAGCCATTTATCTTACATTCTAATTCTAAGAAGTAAAAGATGAGAATATGAGTTGCTGGGTAAATAAAAGGGGAAATGCTCATTAACCAATTTAGGATATTTTATCATACTATGAACACACACTTGCACACACACAAGTGAAACTGCCATTTAATAACCTGTGGGAGTGGAAATATTATGTATCATATTTTTAGCTTAAAACTCATAATATAAATATGTTTCATGCCTGATTTTTAAAAATCACAAATAACCATAGTAATGAAATTTTTATGCAGAGAATATGTACATAAGAGAAAGAACATGATTTTTCAATAGCCTATATTTTTGTAAGGCCAGATTTTTTAAAAAAGAAATCCATTAGACAAAACAAGTTCATGAAAAAAAATTATTTCTTTATATTTTATAATTGAGAAATCTGAGGAGAAACAAACCTTATTTCACAGCGCGGAACATGTTTTTCGTCTCCAGCCCGTCCCTCTCCTGCCTGCTGAAATAAATGCTGGGCATCAATGTTCACGTCAAGGAGGAGGCATATAAAACCAACCCGAGTAAGTCTTGCGTGTACTGTTTTAGAGGAAAGTTTGGTTTGCCATCGAGAAGCTGATAGAGTGACTTTTGGGAAGAAGGAGAGGTGTTAGCTTATTTTTTTCAAAGTTTAACATCATCGTTAGTTCTCTTACAGTTCTAAGAAACAGTGCAGAGCGACCCTGCACACTCCACCCGGTTTCCCTTAATGGAAACACCTTGCATGGCTATGGTACGTATCGCAGCCAGAAAACAACGTTGATATAATACACAGACCTTACTCAAATTTCACCAGTTTTGCACATACTCACGTATGTGTGTGTGTGTTTACTTCTGTGTAAATCTATCGCACATTTACATTTGGGCGGCCATCCCCACAGTGGTCAAGATTCAAAAGTTTCACCACCTGCAGGCTCTCTAGTACTTATCTTATAGAGCTTCCTTCCCTTGCCTGTCTGCTGTTCTGACCTCTGAAAACTACAGGTGGCTTCTCCATTTTTCTTTAATTTTGTGACTTTTTTCAATCAGCATAATCCCTTTGCTATTCATCCAAGTGGTCGCTAGTGTCCCTGGCTAGCCATAGTTTGGTCTTCTTGTTGCGAGGGACTCCTCCTTGTAGCACACTTGTTTGACCATTCACCCACTAAGGAGCATCGAAGTAATTTCCAGCACTTTGATGTTTGTGTACAAGTTTTTGTATGAACATAAGTTATTATTTCTTTGGTCTAAATAACCAGTAGTACATTGGTTTTCTCTTGTTACCCTTCTTTAACTTTATGGTTCTCAAATATTAAGTTTTAAGTATACAAACTCATGTATGCTGTACCATGTTGGCAATTTATGAAATTTTTCAGAGTATTTTGATTATATTTGACTTATATCTGAATTCCCAAAATTTATCTTCACAAACGGTCTCCAAGGTCACCCTTTCCCGAGTGTCCTGAGGGTTTTAGGCTGAAAGATTTAGATTAAGTGAGATTATGTTTAGCATTTCTCAAAATGTCTTCTAGGTGTTGCATGGAATAATAATCTGAGTTGAATACAAAAATTCTGTCCATGAAATACATTTGGGAAATGCTAGACTAATCAACTTTAAAGAGATTTGGTTTGCATTTTGTTTTGCAGAGGATTTTTCAGGAGCCGGAATGTACTGATACCCACTGTAAACATTCAAGAGAGCCAGGATGCAGTGTCTTTCAAATTTGTTGTCTTCAGCATCCTTTTTGGATGGAGAATCCTGCTGATTAGGGTTCAGTGCAACACATTTTAGAAGCACTTATTTTTAGCCCAAATCTATAATTTGGAAAAACTAAAATTCAGGAGTCATCCTATCTAAAGCCACCCAACAAGCAAAGATGGGACAGTTCATCACATGTTACTAAACTAAGTTTAGTGCACCTTTGTCCAATCTTAAACATATAAATGTCCAGATATAGTCATTAGGTATGCCTAACGCTACCTAGCTATTTACCAACCTCTGCATTGTTATCCTCTTCATGATCTGACCCTGGTTTTATTTTAGATCTGAATGAAGCTGTATTTTCCTTATTCAAAAACTTAGTAGGTAAAACACAGAATTAGAAGAATTGAGGTTAGCTTTTTCTAGGTGACTTGATAGCAAAAGGATTTGTTAGTGATGTTTTCTTCCTCTGTCTCTAGTAAAAGACCTCTTTGCCTGAATTTGTAACTCACAACCTGTCCAGACCCTCTCCTTAGAGCTTCTGATTCTTTTTGCCATTATATTTTGTTTTAAAAAATGAAGTTAAAATGTGACTTCTCTGTGGTTGAAATTTCTTGCAATTAAAGGCAGCTGTCCCTTAAATTCTCCTTTGCCCTTTTGCTATCTAATTCCTAGGACATTTTACATTTCATATTATTTACTACAACTGCTATTACTATCTAACAGTAGCTTAGTATGCTAAAATTTTAATACACTTATAATCTTCCCAAGGGATTTACCCTTTCTCAAGAATTTAACATTTAAAACAATTAAAATTTTTTACAATAGTGACTTATAGATATTATCTCATGAATAGCAGAGAGTGATGTGGCTGTGAGATAATGTTGCTCCTGTGATGACCTTGTCTCACGTGTGACCAAATCCCTTCATAGCAGATCCACTGAGCAGTGTTATGACAAAATGGGCTGTTTGCCATTGATACTAGAACTCTGCCTCTCAGAGCACATGATTTGTATCATGGTGTAGCTTGAACTGAACAATCTAGGTTTCTAAATGATGCAATGGAATTTATAGACTGTAAGAAAAAGCTATTTCCAAGGAATTATTTGATCCTCCTATTTTTAAAGATTGGAACCACAGATAAGAAATAGGATTTGGATTCTCTGTCTTCATGTTCAGGCATTAGTCATTATTTATCCTAAAATGATATATAAAGAATTGCCTGTCTGTCTCGAGCCAGGTTTCCTCCAAGCAGAACTGATGCAGGGATTATGCACAAGTGATTTAATCAGAGTGCTCTTAGGAGCCTGAGGTTGAGGTGAGGGACCTGGGCCATGGTCCTGCCTACAGTCAGCTTAGCCAGATGCCAAGAAGAGATACTGGGCATAAATTGTACCATGGAGTTGATACCAGCCTTTTAGACTCTATCCTTCATTGTTTACAGGCTGCCCAGGTAAGACCAGGGAATGTAGGTGGTATAATCTCCATCAGGAGATTTCTACCAGGCTACAGGCATTAATAGCATCTGCAAGTGAAGCTTTAAGATCCACGAAACTGATGTTAAAAATAAATGATGTGAAAAGGAAGCCAAGTCCGTCCTGCAGGTCGGCACTATGCACAGGCCGCCAGGGGGAAAATCAGACAACAGCTCTTTCCTGTGAGCTAGTGTCATTGGCAGACTGCAGAGGAAGAACAAAAAAGCCAACAAAAAACCAAGCCCTTCCTGTGAGTTGGTACTATGCACAGGCTGCCGGAGGAGAACCAGATGCCAGCCTCTTCTGGCTCACAGGCTGAGAGACAAGAAGAGTCAAGGTTTCCCCACCCACATTCCCCTTCCCCAGAAAGGGACCAGCTGATCCAGAGAAACAAAGGCTGGGAGGATAGCTATTGAGGTAAAATACAACTTAATGCTTGTAATGTTTAGTGTTTCACCAACTGCGCAGGGCTGATCACCTATTCAGAGGATAACAATATACAATGTACCTTCTCTGGGGGCTACCCTCCTGAAGGTGGTGGCCATTGTTAATTCCCTATTATCTTGTTTTGAAGTCCTGCATCACTTTCATTGTTTCATTTGGTGGGGTTTTATTCTGTTTTTTATTGTTTGATTTTATTATAACTGATGGCATGAGCAGTTTTTTCAAAGGTAACCAGATATATTATGGTAGCCATTTTGGACTTAACTATTATCTTGTTTTGAAGTCCTGGATTGTGTTCATTGTCGTATTTTTATTGGTTCTATTCTGTTTTGTTTGATTTTATTATGTCTGAAGGTATGGGCGTCTATTTTGAAAATAACAAGAGACATTATGGTAACCATTGATTGTTGATTTCCTATTACTATTATTTGGGAGGCAGTACTAGGGATCGAACTCACAATCTTGTGTCTGCCAAGCAGGCACTTGTGACTCTGAGCTAAATCCCTGGCCCTGTGATTTCTTATTATCTTGCTTTGAAATCTTGTGTCACATTGTTTTGTTTTGACTTGCTTCATTTCTGGTTTTTTTTTTAAACTTGATTTTATTCTTTTTAAAATAACAATTATAAAAATAAATGATGTATTCAGCTTGCTTCTCCAGGCCTTGTGCTTCCCTCAGGCTGCCTTCTGTGTAGCTGATCGTGCTGCGTTTCAGGGTGGTCCAGTTACTCAGAAGCTCAGGGTGACCATGGTGCCTGTCATCCTGCCCCTGCAGTTTCCTCATGGGCCACATTTCCCAGCTTACAGCATCTTCTACCTGCGGGTTGACCAGAGCCCAGAAGTGCTGCATGCTCAGCTGCCTGGAGGTAGGTTGGTTGTGTTTCCTCACTGTGACATTATTTAACCAGTGATATAGAATTTTCCTGTATACTTGAGGTCACTCAGACAACAGCAACAAAGGAGACAGTGCTCCTTCCTGAAGTGACATACATAAAATAATTCAAAGAATAGGAAATGCAACTAATTAGAAGACATTGAATTTCTATTCCTTTTACTTTCAGAATGATCCAGAAAATATTTTTTGGGTTCAATCTTGGAAGAGAATTACTAACAGTCCACTGGTCCACCTAGCAGCAATAGTCCTTTCCATAGAGCAAACAAAATTGACTCCTTCAGGGAACGTTCTCCAGATCTCCAGGCCATCATGCCAGACTGCCTTATCCAGGGCAGGAGTAGAACTTTGAATTCACCATACATTAATCTCAGACTATTAAGAAGCTGTAGCATCTCAAAAGCCATAAACTCCCAATTCAAGAGTATTTTTGCCCCCTCTTCCTGAGAGACCAGTTTCTAAAAGTGCAAGTGGCTTTTTAGGGCTTTTCCTCCTTGTGTTCTGGCAGTGGAACAAGCATCCAAGGTCATCTGAGGATCGTACCTGCTGGAAACAGCAAGGCCACCACGTCCTCCCTTAAATGAGAGGATACACAGGAAGGAAGTTGGACATAACCCTAATGTTAGTGGCCCAGGCTTTTCCATGTATTGTTTATTTAGGCTACTTGTTTAGGTCTCAGGGAAATGCATCCTAATTGGTTTCTAGTAAACGATGAGGATTATAAATAAGTGGAGACAATACTGGGTGCTTAGCACAGTTCTAAGTTTGGGACATACTTGGATGAGAAAGCAAAGGCTTTCTTTGTGTCAGGAAATTACACAGTGGAAGTTTTGCTTACTCCAAGCCAGATAGGAGGACAGCACTTCCACAGACTTCACAAAAACCTTTGCTTTGAACAAAGAAGTGCCTCTCAGCTCTAACATCAGAAACTTCCTAACTGTATAACCCAGCTTCAGCCTTTAACCGGTGGTATTTGCTTACAGCTCTCAAGAGCCAATACTGACTATAATTAGAAATTGATGTGCCTTTATCACAAAACCACATTACCAAAAATAAAAGAAATCAAAAATCAAAGTAAAGGCTACTTTTGTGTAGAGAGTGCCAGAAATCCTAGAAAGCTTAGAGTCAGGAGGAAAAAAAAATTTTCAAAATATTTTAGGCTAACAAATATTACAGGTAAGGCTATAGGTACAAGTCTAGATAAAAATTCAAGCAACAAAGAGAAAGATCTTATCTAAGAAAGAGGAGCCAAGCAGAAAATTTTCTTCAAAGCTTCAGACCAACATGGAGCTACCACCATACCCAAGCTGAGACTCTCACACCAATGGACCACAACTCAGCATCATTGCAAGCAAAACCACTAGAGAATATTCTTCTCAAATGTTAAGAGAAAAATACTGTCTAAGACTTAAGTTCAATGTTGCCACAGTAAGTGTCCTAGTGTGATTATAATACTTTTGAGACAGACAAGAAGAACCTTACACATTTCCCCCTGTGCCATCTGGAAGGGTGGTGTGGCACAGACGGCAGCCAGTCCACACTTTCTTTGCTGCCCTTCCTCTGCAGTGGACTGGGATGCTTTGCTTCAGTGTCCTTCCTGGCTATCAAACCACCATTCTCCACTCTGTGAGCGCAGCCAGTCAGGTGACAGCCTCCTCCACACCCACCTTTCGGACCATACAGCTGCCTTTCAAAGGAAGGAGGGGACTGCATGGAATGGTTAAAATCAAGAAGGAAGGGATTTGAGCCCCTTATTTGCAAACCCAGCATTCATAGCAAGCTTTCAGGCCTGCCCTCACTGTCTCAGACCTGCAGCAGCGTATAAGCAGCACTCTCCTGGCACTTTTCGGTTTAATCTAGGAGGGCTGCATCTTGTGTACTGGTTTCCCTAAGCTGCAGCACAGACTCTGTTAACAGAGACGTGACCCTGGCATCCCTGTAAACCTGCTTGAGATTTATTTCTCAGTGTAGGCTCCAAAGATCCTATAAATCTACTGGGATTTTTATCCTGAGTAATGTGGGTAGAGCAGTCATTTTTAAAGCAAGAACAATAAACATTCAGAGCTCCAGAGACCAGCAGCCAATGAAGACCAGCATCACACAGCAGGCAGGGCTGACCAATAGCATCCAGCACAAGCTGGCACTGAAAGATGGCAGCTGGCGGAAGGAGAAACCAGCATGACCTGGTGCTTCCTGGTGGCATCAGGACAGCTAGCAGAGCTTCACTTTGCCAATTCATGATTTCCACCTGAACTGAGCAAAGGGACCCTAGGCTAATTGCCAATACTTTGAAGATTTGATGTCTTCTGAGCAAGTCTGAAGCTTTTGCTGCTCTTCTATGGCAGGCTAGGACAATCCCATTGATATGCAGAATTGATCTAGCACCCATCGCCTCAGTTTTCAAAGGGAATTCTGATTTCCTGCAACAATAAGGTGTGGTGACCAGTGGTTCTAAAATGCGTGGATGATGTGGCTCTCTTCAGGGTTGGCTTACTTTGACAGATTTCAACTGCAGTAAACATTAAAATCACCATGCAGTCATTTGAAACATTTTATTGAGCAGCTGCTATGTGCCAGACAGTGTTCTAGGTGATACAGATATAGAAATAAGCAAGTCTTTGTCCCTGTTGAACTTGAAGTCTAATGACAGAGACAGACAATAGACAAAAAGCTATAAAATATACTGGAGTAGCAATAAGATATTAGAAAATATATCAGACTGAGAAAGAGATAAAGAAGAGCAAAAAGACCACAGGCTGCAGAGGTGACAGCATTTTAGATAAAGTCTTTGAGAGGTTGGCATTTAAATAGGGCTCTGAAGGAAGGGAGAGAGCAAGAGACACAGCTGTTTGGGAGGGAAAGTAGCTTGTGCCAGGCCTTCAGGCAGAAGGGCTTGGTGGTGTCCTGGAGGAATCACAAGAAGCCAGTGTACCTGCAGCAGAGCAGACGTGAAGGCAGAGAAGTGGCCCTGGTCACCTCAGGGAGGGCCTGCAAGCCACAGTGAGGGCGCCGAATCAAACCTCCCCTGAGCAGCACCGAGGACCTGTGCTGTTGTAGGTAATCTGTGGCACAGTCCCTGCTTCCTGGTACCTTTTCCAGAAACCTGTAGCGTGTCTGAGTACTGGCCAGGTCGCCCCGTGGGCCGTGGACTGCCTCATGGGCGCCTTGCAGAGCCCCTTCATGCAGCTACAAGTGGTCACAGTGAACTAACAAGTTCGCCTTTGAAAATCCACCCTAAGCAAAACCAGTTCCAATTCAGTAGCAAGATCTTCCAGTCTATGAAACAGGCAGCTGGGGTCTCTGGACTGTGAGTTTAATGCACAGCTTTCCCTAAGTCCCCAAGTGTGAGATGATTTTGGGCCCAGGAAGTTTTCTACCAAAAGTTATAAAGTCTGGGAGAAAATAGGCGATGGCTACAAATAACCTAACTCACAACTGCTTCATTAATTTCTTGCCAAATATTCCATTTTTGGTAAAAGGAAGTAATTCTAGCTTAGCAAGCACACCCTAAGAATTTCTCTACAGTTTAACTTTGAGAACATCTGTCTCTTCTGTGAGAAAAAATACCTCAAAATATATTTTCATTTCCCCCGAATGTATAAATTTATAAAACATCTAGGTTATATTTTAACTTAATTTGTTATTGTATTTAAATACCTACTAATGGAAAATGTGATGTCTTGTTATTTCCTCTGCTTTTTATTTTTGGCCAGATTGAAAGATAAATATAGTGAACACAGCTTGTTTTTAAATTCACATCAACAATAAGTAGTTATAGTTCTTTATTTTTAATTTTAATGATGGTATTTTCCAGAGAAAGCAAAAACACCTCATCCATGACTCCGGATTTCTGTACAATCCGTGCACCCAACCCAATAGCCACGCCATTGAGAATGTAATTGCAAGAAATGGTGGCAACCTGAAAGGGTATGATTAAGTTTTTCCAATTACTCATTTCTTCCTATTTTAATATGCTGCCTTTCTCCTTGCAAGGCTTTAACAAACTTACAGCAAGATGTTACCTGCCAAGAATGTGGAGTTTCATATAAGCACAATTTATTTTCACATTTAGGAAAGAATATTTCCCTGTAGAGAAGCTAAAGTGAATTTTCAGCATGTGGCCCAGAACATTTTCTTCTTTCCATGTGAGTGAAGAAAATGTCTCTGTACCTTTTTGTTCTTTATAAACTGTTTTTCAACCTTAGGGGTGTTGGTAAATTAACCTCATACAAAACACACGGATGTAAACAGGGGAACTAATGCCACGAGGAGGCTAACAACCAGCACCTGGTGCTTTTTCCTTCTTGGAAGGACATTTTGGTTCTCGCTGCAAGTCCACGGTTTTGATATAAAATTTGAACGGAAAGGATTATTGGCCGCTGGCTGAAGTTCTCTCCTTCCTGACTGGCCTTCTCTGTGAAGAGCTGTGATCTGGAGCCCACCCTGGCCACAGCCATCTGTGTGTCTTCGATGCCCACCGTGAGTGTGGACCCGAGGAGGGCCTCCTCTCTTCCTGCCCCTCACCTGGGCCTTTCCTCCCCAAATAGAAGGAGGTGTCCTCACCACGGTCCTCCATCAGCACTGACCTGGGACCCTTTTCCTTTTCCTTTTCCTTGGCCGCAAAAGTTATTCCATCGAGCAATCTCTTTTTTGTTCTTTGGGCTCTAATTTCTGTTTTCTTCAGATTTGTAAATAGATTTTTGTTAGGAAATCCTAAGCCATTAGAGTGAGCATAAGCATGCTCGATAAATGGTTTAGGGCAGGCATAGATGAGGCTGGCTGTCTTCGCCATCCGCACACCTGCGTGACCGTCTGCTGACACTGTTCCATCACACGGCCTGGTTATCAGTCCCAGGCCGCAGCTATGCTGAGTGGAGGGGATTTGCCGCAGCCTCATCTGCACTGAGTGGCGCCCTTTTTGCTCACCAGCTGTTCTGACCTCCACACACCCAGCGTTTGTGCCACCCTCCTCCCTCTGTGACGGCCGAATTCACAGAACCAGGGACGAAGACAAAGGCCTATGAAGAGGAGAAGATGTCCAGACAGGGGTGGCGTAAAGCCTGGAAGACGGCTGCCCTCTCAGCAGCTCCCAGTTCCCAGTCACCTGCCCAGAACACTCAGCTGAACCCCAGTGCCCAGCAGTCTGGAGATACCGCAGAGACCCTAATCACACTGGGTTTCGGAGCACTTGAAACCAAACTGAGCCATTCCAAGCTGAGATGTGCTGTCCATGCACAGCCGTGCTGGTTTTCTAAGACGCAGTCTAAGAAAATGATTATAGTAAAGTATTGGAAATAATGATAAGTTGTTTTATTTTTTGGCTTATGCATTTTATTAAAATAATTTTACCCATTGCTTTTATTTCTTAAAGGAAGCTGCCAGACAATTTCAGATTGCACCCTCGGCTCCTATTCCAGTGCTGTCGGTCAGTGGGGTCTCGAGGGCTCTAGGTCCCCTCTTGGCCAGGCTGGGGTGATGCTGCCAGCCAGTGAGAGGGTTGGATCACAGCTAAGTCAGTGCACGGTCATCTCCTCGATCACAGAGGAGCCCAGGAATGCTCCAAGCTGTGTCAAGAGACAAAACTCTAGCTCCAGTGACTGTTAGCAGCCGCTGGGAGGAAGAGGTGCGCTCATTTTCCTCGTGCTGTGACACGCTAGCTCCTGCACGGCACAGTCAGGGTGTGAGCACAGGCAAAGGCAGCTTTCCTCTCAGCCACAGGAAATGGCCTGCAGCGCCCTCAGTGGCATGGAATGCTGCCACACAGTGGCCACGTGAATTGCCACCAACGTACAGGTGTGGACAGTCAGGCACAGATCTGGACCCAGAGCAGCCCAGACTGGGCAAGAGTGGTCAGCGCCAGCCATGTGATTTCAGTATGAATAAACCACAGCAGGCGGTGACACGTGGAACAGGGTGCTCTCAAGAGCAGCGATTGTCTGCCTTCTGGAATCTTCAGGTGCTGATCACGCGGGCATCCAATTGGCCCTAGATGTTACTTCAATTCAGCCACCTTATACTAAGCTATGAGGTACAGAGGTGCAGGCCCCCTGCTCTCCTTACGCACCCCACAAAATGCACTGTGTTAGCTTGGATTCCCCTTCCCCACTTCCTTCAAAGAACAAAAACCAGGATATGTGTAGATTCAAGTTCGTCACCTAGGTTTTGTTTCTGAATGAATTTTTAATGAAATCACTGCTTTTTTATCAGTGACTACATGGTTGATTTTTAAAAACCTTAAATGACAGGATAAAGACAAATCCAGGGACCAGGGATTGAGCTCAGTGGTACAGCACCTGCCTGGCAAGCATGAGGTCCTGAGTTCTACCTACCCCTGGTACCAAAAAAAAAAAAAAAAAAAAAAATGCAAATCCAAAGTGCTAGGGAGATAGGGACTACAAGAACCTGAAAGGTAGTTTTTTGGGGAAAAAAGACAGGAAATTATTTAAGGAAATACAGAAAGAGTGATCAAAAGAAAAAACATTAGCCTTTATGATGGTTACTCATGAGAGACAAAAAATCACAGTGCAACAGTCTCATTATCATTCACAGTAGTTCTACCCCGATGGCAGACCCACTACCAACTCTGGCAATTAAAAAAAAAAAGTATACAAAATTTAAAATACTCAAAAAAAAAAAAAAAAAAGAAAGAAAAGAATTCCAGTCTTTGTCCGAGAAGAAGTTCATGGATGCAAACACAGAAGCAGAAAACTATAACTGAAAGTGATAAGTTCAGAAGCAGAGGCCTGATTGAAATGCTGGGAAACTTAATTAAAGGGGCTACATCTGCTCCAGGGAATCAGGATAAACTTCGTGTAGGTCAGGAAGGATACAGAAGAATTTGCCTAAGGAAAAGCGTTCTTGGCAAAGAGAAACAAGCAGACTGGTACAAAGTATTAATTACATAAGCATTTCTATTTATATGCCATCTTTCTTCAATTAATAAATCACACTGCCATAATATTTTCAAAAATGAAGTTTGATTTTGAGGTCAAAGTATATACCTGTGAATTCTTGCTCACTTATTGGAGTGAGAGCTAGCTGTGTTTATTGTATAGTGATATGAGACAGGATTTCACTATGCAGTTCAGACTGGTCTTGAACTGACAGCAATCTTCCTACCTCAGCCTCCCAAGTGCTGGGATTACAGGCATGCACCACACCTGCCGGCAGTGATTTTAAAGGATATACAGAAAGCTTAAAATGGAATTATAAAATAAAAGTATTCAATTTGAAATGGGTTGTAAATTTTGGCTTTGTGAACTATTACAAGTTTTACTCATTATTTTCATAGACTTTTCAACCTGCTGCAATGTTAGTGGAGGTTCCTCCAATTAGGACACACAGAGAAAGTACTCAAATTCTTACAGGTCAACTTGTGAAGTTTAGAAGTTTAAGAGACTCAGCAGGGAGTCAGGATCTTACTTTGTAAATATCCTTATCCAGTGCAAGAGGAAAGCAAGAAGATTTTGTTACTGCTACAACCCCAGTGGGAGAGAGGAGGTTAGCCTGCTTACACTATAAGGGAAGAGAAGAGCTTTGTTCCTCCTTCCGCTCCGGCTCCTTCCTTGAGGTGCTGACCCTGTGCAATACCACCCTGCCTTGGAGCCAGCTGATTATGGTCTCCACAAACTGTGAGCTAAATAAACCTTTCCTTCCTTCATTTTGGATGTTGGGTGTTTTGTCCCAGCAATAAGAGAAAAGTAACCAAGACATAAATACTTTGAAAAAGAATATTATGCAGCCTCCTTTCCTGACATCACACCGGGCCACACCCACGAAGTAAGAAACCTTATTTTTGACTCCAGATATTCAGATATCAAGCCTTCAACTGGTGACAAATTAGCATTTCTTTCCCTAGATTTCTTTTTATATAAATGAAACTTTCTCTAAACTTTTAAAATAAGCTAGGTAATATTTACTGAAATGTAATTTGAACTGTTAATTTTTTTAAAAATGAACATATCCAAATTGGAATTGAAGTGGGTTCATAAACAATATAGGGATCCAAGCAGCTAAACTGATAAATTTGGAATTTAATTAGCTGAACCCAGCAACCACTCACGTGGACCCATTTTAGAGTCTCACGGAGTGGCCGCAGACTAGAAAATTACAAAGCTTTCAACAGTGAACCACAAAAAGACATCCTGTTGGAAACAATTTAGCTAGCATCTTAGGTTAATTTTTGGTTGACACCTGTACCCTGCTTCTTTTGTTGGGCAGGTTAATTTCTCTCCTATGGGAGCAGCCCATTCTGCATTTCTCATGGGACTTATACCCTGAATAATTTTCCATTTTCCTGGGTCAAATACAGGGCACTAGTTAAATGCAGGGCTCAAGATACAGGGGCGTCAGTTATGCCAAGCTAACAGAGAATGAGGGCTGACTGGTACAGAATACATTATCATAAAGAGAATGTGTAATCAGGCCAGCTGAAGGGGCTAAAATCGAACTGTGCCCCACAGCCTGGCCACCCAGAGGGAGGAGCACCTGCTTCTAACCCTTGCAAAGAAGCCACTGCCTAGTGGCACAACTGTGTTAGCCATGCCTCAGCACAAGCCCTGCAAACCACCACCAAGGTGGACCCTTCGGGAATCTCCTCTGTACAAAGCTGGGGACTGCGAAGGCCAGAGAGGGAGCAGGTTAAGGGCACAGTTTTACCAGCAAGAGCAGGAAGAATTGTGGGAAAAGGCAGCTCTAGAATCCCTGCCAGGTCCGAATGAACAATGGCTTTCCGAACTGACCATCAGTTCATCCCACTCCAGCTTTGCCGACTGTCCCAACACTTCTGTGTTGTAACCCAACATTCATATTGTAACCCAAATGATAGTCTATGTCCTACTCCAGCTGGGAGGCCATGGCTCAGCCGTACTGCCAAGGTCAAGATCTCTTCTTCAAGAGAATTAGACAATTATGTTTTGGGATAACTTTGTATAAATGTACCTATATGCTTACAAGTTGTTTTAAAAGTTTGGGATCCCAGCTTTGGAATGGAGAGCTCTTACAACCCCTACACCCAGAATGAGAATTGTTGTTTAGTTTTTATGTCCTTTATTCTGATCACTTGGTAGGAGAGTTCCCTGTCACTGCATCTCTGCTGTGTGCTAAGAGCCAATCGGTCACAGAGGGCACCTTGAACCAGTGCCTCTGAAATGCACCTGGACTCACTGTTTTATTTTCCTTTCTCCAGACCTAGTGACATAAATAAACCCAAGGATAAACTTTGCCAAACTCCATACCCTTGAGGATGCCCTACTTGGAAGTGGACAAAATGACCCCTTCAAATACTACTCTGCTCTGTACAGGGTGGTTGTTTGGAGCAGCTGTTTTTACAGTGGCCACACCAGTGAGATAATGCAATCTAAACTAAAGATATCCTGTTATTGTTTCATGGATGCTGGTGAAGACATGAAACTCCTGGTTCAAAGACAAAGGACTTTTATTACTCATGGCCCAGCAAGCATTAAGACCTTAGTATTAGGGGCTGGGGATTTAGCTCAGCAGCATAAGCACCTGCCTTGGAAGTGTGCAGTCATGAGTTTGATCCCTGGTACTGATAAAAATGAAAAAGACAAAAAAAAAGACCTTAGTATTGGCTTGGGTCCCCATGCACCCAAGTTCCATGCAGGCATCATCAAGGACTTCAGGTGGAGGCTGCACACCAAGGGAATGTATCTTGCAGCCGAGGAACACTGAGTTTGGAGAATCTGTTGCCTTTACAGAAAGTGGAGAAAGTCTATGCTTTGCCCAGGGAAGTTGTTACCTGATCCCCCAAGTCGCCTGCTGCAAGTGTAGCTCTGAGAAATGGCCTGAGTAAAGAGCAGCCTGACCTTGCATCGCTGGCACATTCTACAGAAACATTCAGGATGGCCAGGACCTGCGGAGAATTGTCTCTCGGTATCCAGAAATCCATATTCTTAAGCTGCATAATTAAAGCAAGAGAGGAAAGGACCACTATAAAATTGCAACTTTAAACTTTATATGATCATAGTAAAATGAAAAGTCTGCACAGAACCCGTTCAGTAACACTTGGAGACATTCGGTGTCCTAGATTTCAAGCTTTAAATGATGATAGTATAGAAAAAGCATCAGCAGAAGATTTTGCTCAGAATTCACCAACTTAAAATTTGACATTGCATGATCTGTTCAAAATTGACATGAAATCCATGCATGGTGGCACAGGCCTGTAACTCCAGCATTCAGGAGGCAGAGGCAGGAGGAGCATCATAAGTTTGAGGTCAGTCTGGGCTATAGAGTAAGCTCAAGACCAGCCTGAACTAGACTCTGTCTCAAAGAAAAACAAAATGATATGAAAAATTGGACTCTCATAAAACATTTAAAAGAGCAAAGTCCTATAGGTTTGTACTACAATCTAAAATCATATACATATACCCCGCTCATTTTTATTAATGTTTTTAAAGCTATGTACTTATAGAAGATTCCATTGCTGTCTCAGTAGAATCAGGGAAATACAATGTTTTTAAATAGATAGTCTGGGCTGGGGCTTTAGCTCAGTGGCACAAGCGCCCGCATGGCATACGCAAGATCATGAGTTCAATCACCAGTACAAAAAAAAAAAAGTAATATAAACATATTTTGGGATATTTGGAATATTTAGTTTGGAATCTAGAAATAAATTTGGAAATACTAAACTAAATGTTTCAAACTTATCAACCAAGACCTTGTTCCTTCAGAGCTACTTAGTATTATCTTGGTGAGGCTTTTGAAAAGGAAAGAACATTGGTAATTCTGATAGGAAATGAAGAAGTCATTTGCTGTAAACACGGAATTGAGTTGTTCCCAGTTTCTTCCAGTTGACCTAAACACGCAGGTGTTTGCACATGTGATGTGTATTAGGAAGACTGATTAGCGTGTGTAGTGGATTTGTAACTGGTGAGCAATGTGAACACCAGCTGAACTGAATCAGTGTGGGTCCTAGTGTGGACGGCCCACCTGGGAACTGCTGCCAACATAAAGGAGGCCTGGTGTGAAGAGGAGCGCTGTGGCTTCTCCTCACTGTTGTTGTTCTGAGCCGTTGCTTCTCCTGGAGGAGCTTGTCATGCTGGCTTCCCCAGTATGAATTCGGCCATTATCATCCGAGGAGCTTGGGACCTTGTCACTGAGAGTGGCTGCGGTTCACTGTGGGGAGCTCTGGTTCTTACTTTGAGCATTGCTTCCTGGCTCCAGAGGGGAAGATGTGTGCTGTTTAATCTCCAGGAGGTTTGTCACGCTGGCTTCCTGATAGGTACTGGGCTATTCTCATCGTCAGAGGAGCTCAGGACCTCAGCTGAGGACGGCTGTGGTACATTTCAGGGGAGCCCTGGTCCTTATTTGGAATGTCACTTTCTGGCTCCACAACAGAACCCTCACCTGCTGGCATAGATCCTTTGCCCAGCTGGCATACACTTTCTAGCTTTCACTGCTGACCTTTGGACCTTCCCAGCACAAATCCTTGAAAGAACCATGCATGAGTCATTGTGAGTTCTAGATTTTCAGCTGAACTCATGCAGGTTATTGCCATGGGATCCAGGTCCTCAGCTGAATTTTTTAGGTCTTTAGTGTTTTGGACAGATTTCCTGCACTTTTTTTGTATTTGACTCCTTGGGCGACCATTATTAATAATACTATAAAATATGTGTCCTGTATGTAATTCTTCTCCTTGCAACCCCTGACTACAACAGAGCTCACATATAAATTCTCTCTATATTGTCCTTGTTTGAACCCTAATATTTATGAAAATAGATCCCAAGCCTAAGAATTGGCAAATTTTAAAGTCTACATAAGACACAGTTAAAATGTCATGCAGAAAAACAAAGATACTGCTAATAAAAGTTTGACAGCAGGAGGTTTTGTTGGACTTGTAGCAGTGCTTACACAGAGTTATTTCAGAGTAAAGTTGCTGCCACTTGCTTAGTCCCAAAGGAGACTTGCATACATAATTAAATTATACTCTGGACTCAGTGCTGACCCTCTGGAGTATCTCCCAAATAAAATTAAGAGTTTTTTCCTTCTGGCCACTTCTAAAATGAGTCTGTATTTGTCTTTACTTTCTGGAGGCCACTGGCTTTAATTAGTAGAAAATTACAGGGTTTTCCCCTCCAAACTAAACAGAACTCAGTGCTGTTTTTCCATAGTAAGATTTTATCACCAGTCACAATCCAATGTCAAACAATTAAAACTTGGAAGATGCTGTCAGACAACCAAGCCTTTACTTTAGTGACACCAAACAACTGGTTTGACTAGATTTTTTCCCCTGCACTCACTAACCTAAATGGTTTCCATATCGACACAGCTTTACCTTCAAGGGTTTTGTTCTTATTAATGCTAAGCAAACATGTGAAATGTGAGCGAGGCTATTCCCTAAAGTGAAGGTGTTTGCTTTTTACATTTATTGCACTCCTTGAAAAAGGAACCATGCGGAAACCCAATAGCACAAAGGTACAGAGCGCTCGGTGGTCACTAGTGCCCTTCGGCATGCTTGTCCTCCATCCCAAAGCCACGGGTGCTATTTCATCTTTTTTTACTTTTATTGGTACCAGGGATTAAACTCACGACCATGCGCTTGCAAGGCAGGCACTTACGCTGCTGAGCTAAATCCCTGGCCCCATGGGTGCTATTTCAGCACCTACCTGGACACTCTCAGTAAGAAAGGAATCCACCGTATCAGGAGCCCTTTCTGTTAGGGATATGAGAACCTTCCTATATGCTATCAAAGTCCACCTTCCCTAATTTTTCTCCTCTGGCCCTTGCCCTCCCTACGGGAATCATTCACACTGGCAGTAACCCTTTGCATAGACAATCCTTTCTTGCATTGAACAATTTGAACAAATCTCCACTAAAAAAGACAAAATTGCTACTTTTGTTTCTCTTTCGCTACAGGTGTCTGCTTATCCCATTTTCCAAAATCTCTTCAAGCTTTGGCCTCCCCAGAAGATTTCTAAAAAGGACACAAGGGTATGAGTCTCTCTCTTCCCTTTCTTTCTTGGCAGAGTTCCAGAAAAAAAAAATCACAAAGAACGCTAGACTTTTCTTGTGGTTTATTTTGTCTGCGGTGAAGAACAGACTCAGCCTTTAACCACGCTTCAGAGATTTGGTAGCCCTCTAACGTGACTTCTTTTGCGATACAACAAATACCTTCACAACATTCCACTCTTGCTTGTCTCCTGTTCTTAACCTTAGAGTCTTTTTAAATCCATTTTTAATGGAGTTTAAATTCACAAAACATAAAAACAAACATTTTCAAAGGAACAGCAACTCACAGGTACAGTGTTGTGGGACCACTACATCTACCAATGTTAATTCCAAAACATTATATTCAGCGCCCCAAAGAATGGCCGCATTCTTAACATTCAGCTTTTAAAATAGAGGCTTCCTCTGATCCTCTGACTTCATAGCCATTTAAAAGTCTTTTTAAAATAAATCTATGGAATTAGCTGACATTTTCCAAGATGTGAAATCTGGGAGCCATTCCAAACAGCTTTGTCCATTAGTCTAGTTATGTGAACATATTTAATTATTTAAACAAAGTGAAATAATTCTAGCATGGGTAAAATGCTCTGCTTATGTTTCAGCATTTCCCACAGTTTGCACTTCTGTGACCCCAGCTTGTGAGTGTGACTCAGATGGCACTGTGTCTGACGGCATCGGCGTGAGCCACTCACTCATCCTGCTCGGGCATTGTGGCGGGCCAGTGCTGGAGTAAGGAAACATGCAAGGTGCCAGATGTCACCAGTGCAAAGCCAGCCACTACTGATTGTCTCTGACCCAAGAGCTGCCAGCGTGAGCTCTCAGGGCTGGGCCACCTATCTGGTGCACTTTAAAGCTGATGTTGTCACTGCCGGCCCTAAAAATCTTTCATTGTAAGCACCTAAGAGTCCTACAGGCGTGTGAGTCTTGCAAGTAACACAATGCCTGTCACAGATTTTAGCGAGTTAGGAGACAGCTTTTGTCCATGGTCGACTAAGTTTATCCTAGGAGACCAGCAGGGGGCGCTCGCGTTCCCCCTCCTAGGCCAGGTGGAGGGCAGAGGCATGGAGACATTTGCACTAGGAGTCTTTATACAGATTGATTAACTTACATGGTGCATTATGATGACTTCTTGGATCGTTTTCAACACACAGTTTTGGGTTTGCGTTTTGGGTTTTTTTAAAAATGTTTTCCTTTAGTCTTACATCCTTCCTCATATGGATAGATGAATTCTCTGACAAACAGAGGGAAAAAATTAAGCAAGGAAGGAGTGGGGGGGAAACAACCTCAACAGTGCTCTGGGCCTAAATGGACAGCCCCGTGGGTGCAGGATCACAGAAGTTTAAAGCTGCTCAAAGCCTCACAGAGCTGTGGGGTCCTCGGGGAACCCAGGCAAACCACTTCCAATATGGCCTTGGGCTCCACATTTTTGCCCGCCTAAGGAGCTGTGGGTACTTGGGTGATTAGGGAGCCTGGGCTGAATCTTTCTATCGAAGTGCTCTTCTCAGATGTGATGGCAAAATGAAGCGTCATAATAGTGAATTTTGTAGTCGGAAGAACTTTCAGTCAGGCTTTGTAAACTCCTGGCGTCGTCCTGGTTCCCTGACTACTGTGATGTCGTATGAGAGCAGTGTGAAGCCTGGTTTTATTTTTGTGTGACTCTGTATGTGTGTGAGAGAGAGAGCTTTATTAACAAATAATTCGCATATCATACAATTTACCCTTTCAAGAGTATGACCGACAGTTTAGCATATTCAAAGTTATATAATCAACAATGCCATCACTTTTGGAACATTTTTATCAACCCAAGAAGCAGTCTTGCTTCTGGATATACCAAAGGAATTTGAAGTAGATTTTCAAAGAGAGAGTTGTACAGTGTGTTCATAACAAAATCATTCACCATAGCCAGAAGATGGGAGTGACCCAAGGGCCCACCAGTGAATGGACATACCCATGGACTTCTCAGCTATCATAATATAAGCAGGACTCAGAAATATCTATGGGTGGAGGAGCCATAGAAGGGGGAGAATGAAAAAGAAAAAATGTAAAGGTGAGAATGAAAGAGGGAAGTTATAGCCACCTCTGCCAGAGAGGGACCTGGCACTGATAACCATGCCGCTTGGAAGCTCTGGCCCCTGACCACCAGCCTGGCCAGCACCATGCAGGCTGACGGGGTCAGTACTGCAGCTTACACAGCCTCCTCCACTGACTCGGGCCAACAACAGCACTCTGGAAGGGTCTGGGATGGGATTTCCTGTGTGGAGCTGCACACAATACAACTAAGGACATTTCCAAAAGAAGGAGACTCCAGGAAGAGAATAATTGTAATTCTGCGCTTTCTGCCTGTGACCACGAGCCCCTCCGGACCCCGCCACTCTCAGCCTGTGATGTGGACACAGGCAAGTGTTTGGGCAGGGCCTGTGCCATCAGAGCAGGACCACGCTGTGAGGAAAGCCCTGTACATGTGCGCCTGTGATTTCCCTTTCATGAGGTGGTGCAGATCTGTAGTGCCATTGCTTTGAAGGGACCTGGTCTTGTTCATTGCTCTCTTTGTTCCATTGTATTTCAGTGCTCACATGGTCTGAGTTTTTATACTGCGGAAATTAGCAAACGCTGTCCATCAGCCCCCTCACCCCCAGGCCTTCAGAGAGCTGGCCGTTACCCACTCCCCAGCTCTCCGCTGGACTGGGCTGAACCCACCAGCCAGAGATGCCAACGGGCTTTTCCACCCTTGTGTCCCTGGCAGTGGCTGACAATGCAAGAAAAGGCCATTCATCCGCCTCCTCTTGTGCCCCACCAGGCCAACCACGCATCCTTTCTCTTACCTCATGCACACAATTCTCTAAGCACGCCTACCATTTTCTGCCTAAAAATATTTTTACATAAGTTTCTTTTTAAAAAAAAGCAAACAAAAAACTGAAACCAAAAAAGTGGGCATTTTAGATTCTTAAGAGAAATAAACCCTTGGATTTTTCACAGACCCCAGTGAACATGTGAGCATACATTTTCTAAAATAGTAAAATAAAACATTTTCACTTCTTAAGGGACATGTCATGCAGTGGGGATGTTCAAGCCCAGCTCTTTGCTTTGTTCTCCAGTCTTGGCGGCCCACTGTGACATTTTTAGAAAAAGGAAAAACAAAAATTTAACCTAATAAAAGAACAGTGACCTTGATGTGTCTGAAGAAATGCAGCTGATAAATAAGAAACATATGCCCATGAGGAAACGGCTCCATGCTAGTATTTTAAGTCGCTTCACTGAAAACATATTAGGATGGGAAACAGTAGATGAGAGAAAAAAAGAAGCAAGGAAGTAAATGTGAAGAAGAGAAAAACAATAGATAATAAGAAACAAGGAGTAGATCTTTTGCAAAAAGGAAGGGGACAAGAGATGGAGAGGGAAAGGAGGAGGAGAGGAAGGGGATGAAGAGTTAAGCTGCCGTACGTACACATAACCTCCCCACAGTGAAGGGAACCATGATGCTCTGCAATCATGCACTAATAAAAACTTTTAAAAAGTGATTTTATGGGGGCTGGGGGTTTAGCTCAGCGGCATAAGCACCTGCCTTGAAAGCAGGCAATCGTAAGTTCGATCCCCTGCACCGATGAAAAAGACAAAAAAAAAAAAAAAAAAAAAAGTGATTTTATGTAAGCCGGGTCAGATAATCTAGAAACTGCATAAAGGGGAAAGTTCAGCCATGCGAGTCTCTGAGCAGCTGTGGCAGCACAAAGAAAGGTGCCCAAGTGTGCCACCAGATCCCTGAAGGCAACCAGTCAGAACGAGACTGGGGCTGACTTGGCACTGGTTGGCTAACACCACTGTCTTTCAGGAGGAAAAGGACTGAGCCCGCCCACAGGGAGACAGGGCAGGAGGCGGGGAATATCTGTCACGGTGCAGCCAGCAGGTGACACACATGTACACCTGTGCAGAGGCGCTCTGGGCCACCCCGAGTGGCTGATTCAGCATCTTGTCCTGTATCCAGGAGTTCTTACAACCACATCCTGAAGGAAGTACTTTATTGCATTTTTTTCCTTAAACTGAGGTTTGGTTCTTGGGGAAATTTTTCAAAAGCACTTTGCTGCATTTTATACACATTACATCACTATTTAATGTTTGAAATAAACCTTTTGAGTAAAATGGAGCATAAAACTTTTCCAACATAACAAAAAATTACAGTTAGTTAAGACCATTCTAAACAAAAGTTTCATGTCTCCTCAAAGCTAGATTTTATCTGACAGTATTAACTTTTTTTCTGAACATTTTATGCTAAATGTTACCAGACTTTAAAAGTATTGTTTACGCCTCACCAGCTGCTCATGCTGCATAAAGTTCAAGATGTTGCAATGGTGAAAAAGTCCAGAAACACAGAGTGGATCCCAGTTGGGTTAACCTCGTGCCAAAAGGACTGGCTTACAAGTGGCTGTCTTTACTGAACTGTGACACGCATAGAATATCTTCCAGTCAGCTTGATTGCTTTTCAACCTTCGAATATTTCAGTGTTGGAAGTAAAAGCCCCAGGACACCATGGTGAGGGAAACTAAGGGTTTCATTAAACAGCTGCATGCTGCATGGTAGAACTTCGCAAAGAGGGATTAAGTGACCCAGCTGCAGCACCACTGATGCCTTTCTGCTTGAACAACACATAGACCACCTCCTGTCCCCCTTACTCAAGTCCTGCAGGGGGAGGTGACATATCCTGGGAAGTCACTCGGGGCCAAGCGTGGTTGGCCACGCCTCTGGTCTATTTGCTGGGTGTCAGTGGCTTTGCAGCAGTTTTAGGACTGCACATCACAGCAGCAGAAGTCTTGTCAGCTGGGATCCACTGAGCCCTCGCTCTCCACAGATTGGATACTGAGTCCTGGGAGTCATCTCTGTGGGGGTTCTCCCTGTGACTGATGTTGGAGGTGCTGATGCTAACACGTGAGGCCCTGCTGGGAACAGTGCAGTTCTGCAGCCGTGGTCCTCCTTTGCACATGGCGCGTTCTATTCTGTTATGTGCATAGGCTTAAGAGAAGGATTTCATTCCATGACGAGCAAAGGGAGTTAGAAAGCAGCAAGCTCAATACATTCACTATAGCCCAGCTATTTCCTCTCCTTTAGCTGTTGCTGAGGATCAAATAAACAGTCCTCCTGCCTGGGTTTCCCAGGAGCTGATGGATGGATGCCTGAAAAGTGTGCTTGGCCTGCCTGAAAGACCAACTATGTGCCCTCCTATAAAGACAAGTCCTCAGACACAACATTTTCCTAGTTTTTGGAGCAGCACTGGAATAACCAGAGAAATAGCTACTTGGGTTCACTGGATCCGGATTCACTTTTCAAGACCAGACAGGTGGAGCCCAAGGCCTCCCATCGTCCTCTCCTGGGATGATTGATAGATGAGTCCAAACTGCAGAAGCCTCTGGCCCTGCACACCCAGAGCAGTGTGAGTGCCGCCCACACGCTGTCAGCCACGCTACACCCAACCTGTCCCTGGCTGCTGCTTCATCCTTTCAGAGGCAGCGGGAGCCACACCACACCGAGGACTGTGCCTTTGTTCCTATTTCCCCACAGACTTCGTTTAATGGCACACAAGTAAGTACATGCAGCACACACTTGAGATCACAGTTAGTGTACCCAGGAAGGGATGCAATTGTCCACAGATGCAGCTCTGAGTTGCACTGTTGTATCAAGCAATGGCAGGTTGTATAAATTTTGAGGACAGACTCTGTGCTTGGCTTATGTTTGTTACCCAGTTCTAGCATGGAGCCTGGCACAGGAAAACAAATCATGACGAAAGAGGCTCTATCTCTGATGCTCTGTACAGCATCAGATGGAGTACATTGACTGAACATCTGTTTCTCCATCTCCCTAAGATGCTATGACCTCCATGGAGTGAGAGTGACTTGAATTCACCATTGTTGCACTAGTGCTTTAACACAGTTCCTGACACACGGTGGAGACTTCACAGATCTGTGATCCTTCATGAATAAAGTGCAAAAGATTGTCAAGAGTCTAGCTCCAGGAATATGGGAATATGGGAAAGTTACAGATGATTTAACATTAAAGACTCTAAGGAGAGAATGCATATGAAAATCAGTTCCCAAGACAAGATCTGGGTGGACAAACCAGGGGAACTCAGTCCGGGCACTGGAATTCAAGTCATTTCCTGGAGTCTCCTTCTGATCTGGACTCGGCTGGTGAAGAGAGATGATGGTGCCCCACGGGAGGCTTGGAATTTGCTGTTTTAATGACCGGCTGTGAGGCAAAAGCACAAGACTTTAACCAGGCCTACTTAGACACACCACTGTGGCAAGTGGGATCGAAGTGAAATAATTCTATGAAACAATTCAATTCTTATTGCTGCTCTTTAACATTGTGTCTTTATGATGGTGACCAAAAAAGAAAGAAATAAAAGTGATGGGAAGAAATATTTATATATGTGACATTAATTTTGAACATTAATTTTTGAAAAAAAGAATAAGCATGATCTGACACAGATGGGCTATTTGTTTACATAGCTGTAATCCAGCATGTGCCACGTGATGGATGTTGCCAAGCACTTCAACAGGACAGGCCAGCAGTGCCAACGTAGCTCTGAGCCAGGGTCATGAGGAGTGTGGGCAGGAAGGCTGGCATCGCTCGTTAGAGGGCACTGTCACTCATGACACGAATCCTCATTACTGCATCCGTGGCTTAAAGAAAAACTGCAGATGGAGAACAGATTTAAAGGGCAGGTAAATTTTTCCTAAGAGATTAGAAAACAATACCTGTAGCAAAAGAAAGAAAATTTGAGATGAGATTCAGTGTTTAAAGGGTACCAGTTGCATAATTTTCCTCTTCCACTGAGGATAAGATCATTGATTGTAGTTGAAAAAATTTTTCAATTAGACACCATGCAATTATCTGCTCTTAGTCACTTTTCTCATCGCTGAAATAAAAATACCAGTACTCACAAGTTAGAGGAGGAAAGGTTTATTTCAGCTCCCAGTTCATAAAGGTTTCGATTAGTAGTCAGCTGGCTCCGAGGCAGGGTGGCACGGCAGGGGGCACCACGGAGGGCAAATAGTTCATGGTGGGCAGAAGGAGGCAGAGCAACAAGGGAGCCCACAGCGCTTTCTAACCCTTATCTCCTATCCAGGTTACTCAGGGCGAGCGACACGCACACCTTTAGTCTTAGTGCCCTTGATCCTAGCAGTGTACCATGTATCAATCCCAGAAGCCACTTCAGAAAAAGCCCCACCTATGACTGCATGAGGCTTTGGGGGGACATCTGGACAGAGCCATGACATCTGCATTCACTTACTATGCTGTTGGTACTGCTGACATATTGTTAATAAACATTCCAGTTATTTACTGCTTTATATTTTGCAACATATATATCATTTAACTCTCCAAATATCCCTAAAGAAAAAACATTAGAGAGCTACGTAACTTGGCCAAAGTCATGCAAGCAATAGAGACTGAAAACCTGGTTTAAAACCCAAATGCACCTTAATAAATTGCCCTTCCCTTATGAAGATGTTGCCCACACACATGCATAATGCTGAGCTCAGCACCAGTATAAAAAATGACTATTAGGACCCCAGACCCCAGGAGCTCTGCCTCGAGCTAATAACATTACACGCATTGCCCAAGATGGGGCAAGATGACCGAGAGGGTTAGTAAATCGGTGGCACTTCTGAGCCAAGAGGAGACCCTTACAAATGGGCTTAATTGGTAGTATAATTTAGCCCAAGACTTAAAAACAAGAGGATTTTTGACTGTGGAATAGCTGAGCAGATGGTATAGCTAGAGAAAATAATAAATATCCTCTTAGAGGAGAAATAAAACAGGTGCATTCACAAATACAGTGGCAATTAAATGAGGGGAGAAGTTAGAAAATATAATTACAGGGAACTGTGGATCCCCAATGAAAGATGGTGGAGGCTCCTGGAGCTGGCTGTCTTCTGGAATGTTGACCTCAGCTCGTCTGATGAGTATTTGCACTGAAAGTCTTTATCTCAGTCCTTGTTTTTTCTCCCAAATGCATTTTATTTGAAAGTTAAAAAGTAAAAAAGTGGTCCAGGGATTTAGCTTAATCGCCTGCCTGGCAAGCTAGAGGTCCTGCATTCCATCCAAGATCTGGCTACCACAAACTGTGCTGCTATAAACTGATTGTTGGACTCCGGGAGAACATGGCGGACAGACAACAGCAACTACCGGAGGCTCTCTGAAAGGCTCAGCTCAGAGGCCAGGAATGATGCGGACTAAGGAGACACGAACCAGTAGAGATATGCTCTGCTGACTCAGGAACGAACTGGGCTGAGAGAAACCAACTTAGAATACAGTCCTGGCGCTAAAATAGGAACAGAAAAGACTCGGTGTAGAGGCTCGACCCCGCGCCATTGGAAACCGCGATTTGGGTTTCCTGCCGCCCGGCGGCTGGCTGCCTCCACAGCGGCTCGGCAGGGAAAGACGCGCAGAAGCTCTGGGAACGGGAGTCTGCGAACGGAGTCGAAAACAGGACGGACAAGGAGGCGCACACGAAAACTGACTGGTGGCGAGGTGAGTGAGAAACTGACCCCCTACCACAGTTTGACTCCAGCAGAGGACTTTCTGGGCTCAGGCAGTCCTGTAAGAGCAGGGTGCGGTGCCGACTCCAGCCACACATTCCCCTCTCGGACGGGATTGGTGAAAAGTGCCTGGCCTGAGTGACGCTGCGGGCAGACTCCCCAGGCTGGCCTAACCCAGTCCCAGAGCCTGACGGTGGCCCGGAGGAGCGACCGACTCCCGCGTAGGCTGCCTCCTCCGCAACTCCCTGGTGCGCAGCGGTGGGCGGGAACAACTAGCCAGCGCAATTTGATCAGGCTGTGGCTGACAGGCAGGGAAGCCGGGCCTCCTATGTAAGCTTGCATTTTATAAGGAACAGAAAATATGGGGAAGGGAAGCAACAAAAAAGGCTCCTCGGCCCCCAATCCTGAGAAACAGGCAATAGTGGACACCGCACCAATATACATTAAGCACCATATAGAGAGCCTCATAGACCAATTCAGGAATGAAGTTATCAACGACCTGAAGCTAGAAGTATGCAGAATAGTTAGAGAAATGCTAAGCACCACCCAGGAAAAAGCAGATGGTGGAATGGAAGAACAGAAAAAGAGGGGAGAATTGCTTGATGGAGAAAACAGAGAAAGCATTGAGTATGTGAAGCAGGTTCAAAGGGACTATCAAGAAATTAAGAAGTCTATCCAAGACTGGCATAACAGCTTGAAAGAAACTAAGGACAGACTATCTGAACTGGAGGGCAGACTTGAAATATGGGAGAATGAAATGAAAAACTTCTTAAAAATAACAAAGAAACAAACAGCAATAATACAAAGACAAGAAGATGATAAGAGGAGCCATAACTTAAGGATTAAGAACATAAAAGAAGAAGTAGGGACACAAACAAGTGAACTACAAAAGCTACTCACAGAAATAATCCAGGAGAATTTTCCTAATTTAGCAAAAGGTAAAGATACTCAGATGTACGAGGCATACAGGACCCCAGCTACCTACAACCCTAACAGAGAAACACCCAGGCATATAATAATAAAAATTCCAGAAATTCAATACAAGAACAGAATATTAAAAGCTGTAAGAGACAAGAAACAGATCACTTACAAGGGAACACCCATCAGAATTACAGCAGATTTCTCTTCACAAACCATCAAATCACGAAGAGCATGGGGGGAAATAATTCAAGCATTGAAAGATAATAATCTCCAGCCAAGATTGAGATATCCTGCACAACTGTCCCTGGAAATTGATGGAAAAACGAGGTGCTTCCAGGATAAAGAGGAACTGGGGGAATTTGCAACCACCAATTCAACCCTACAGAAAGTATTGCAGGATATTCTAAAAAAAAGAAAAATACAAAGAACCCAGAAATAGTGGCTGGGAGGCCACAACGAATGGAGCAGAGAACAAAATGAAGAAGACAAACTGACAGCTACTGACAGAAAAAGAGCTCAACAGAAATGAGACAGAGAAGATTGGATGATAGGAACAGCTATTTTGGAGAAAATGACATCTTAATAGGTAATGCTGATTTAGTACCATCTTGTTTTGAAATCTCATCTAGCTTTTGTTCTTCTGTCTCCAATGGTCTAAACAGGTTGTATCTTATTGGATTTTGTTATGTACGATAGTATAAGCAAAAACCTTTTAAAGACAAGGAGATTATACAGAGACCATTGTTCATTTTCTGTTAGTCGATTCTAAATACTCTATAATGCTGTCATTCTCTTAAATGGTTTTACATTGTTTTGATATACTTAATGCTACAGTATATGAAGTTGTACTCAAGGACTTCAGGGAGGGAGTCAATATGGTAACTACTTTTGGGTCGGAAATATCTGGTGGTGAAACACTATTCTGCTTAAATGGTTATGTTTTGATCTGCCCTGTTTCGCTGTTATGCCCTCTTTTTTCTCAATCTCCACTCCATTATTTACTTTTTTATTTTTATCCATTTAATTAAAGGGAAAAATATAGCAGGATATAATATAGTAACCCACTTTGACTTTCTATTATCTCGATTTGAAGCCCTGTATTACTCTCACCATCTTGTTTTTGACTGAGGTTCCTCTATTCTGTTTTGCTGGATAGTATCAGGTTCGAAAGTTTAGGCATCAGCTGAGAAGATAATGAGATTCATTATAACGCCCATTCTCGTTGACTTTTATCTACTTTTGAAGACCTACAATATCTCCAATGTTTTGGTTTTGTCGGTTTTATTCTTTACTGTTTTGTTCAATTGTATTACAACTAATGATATAGGCAATTCTATTAGAAATAGCAGGAGGCATTATGGTAACCATTGTTGATCACCTTGTATTATGTTTTTATATTATCTATTATATCCACCCTTTTGACTTGACCGATTCTGTTCTGTTATGTCACATTTGGTTTTACTCTCTTCCAAAAAAGCAATAAGAACCGTGGGAGCAATGAAACCCAAAATGTGTAATAGTCACTGTACAAAAGAGAGGAAAAGAAAGTGCTCTAAACTATATAACTGCATGTATATTTAAATGTATAACATAGAAAATGATATCACAGAGTTTTATTGGATCATTGAACAGAACTGTTTGCAGTATCATTGTTGGAATGTCCATTCTACAAGCTTTAATTTTGTGACTTGAACAATTATTTCTAAGATGGCAATATGTAATCCATTAACTAGTGATTTCCTACTGCGCATTTTTTTCTTCTGTAAATCTGTATAACTTGTACCCCTTCACTGTTTTTTTTTCTTTCTTTTCTTTTCTCCTTAAATTAAAAAAAAAAGGAAAAAAAAAAAGAAAATATAATTACAGTCTCCTACTAAAGAGGCTGAACTTCATTCTTTAAACAATGAGAACTCATTGAAGCTTTCTAAGCAAAAAGTGATGGTAAGACTGTCTTTCGAGTTCTTAAAACCTCAGTAGACAAGAAAGCTGAGTTGGAGAGAAAGTGATCTGTAATAGTTGAAGCAGAAGTAGGGGTCTAAAAGGTAACAGAAAGATGAGCAAGATTGAAGATGGAAATATAAATGGATGGAAACCTGAGATTGTATTCTACGGATAATTGTTTCAACTGGATAATAAGAAGAAATACAGTTAACTTGCTTGGTGACTATATTATATATATATATCCTTGTTACTCAAAATACAGTCTGCAGGCCAGCAACATTGACATCAGCTGGGAGCTCATTAGAAGCTGAGCCCATCCAGGATACTGAGTCAGGTCTGCACATAACAAGGTCCCCAGGTACCTCGTGTGAGGCTTGGGAAACACAGGTTATTTTTTCTTTTTGTTCAGAAACACTTTGAAGGGGAGGGAATGAGTCGCTCTTCACCATGTGGCAAGACATGGCTTCAAATCATAACAAACTAATAATGGTTGAGTTGAATATAATATAGATTTTATACAGACTTATCATCAATTCTGTGTTTGCTTTCCATAAACCAGTAAAATAAAATTTTGTGTTAGAACATGAGTACAATTGGTGAAGGGGGAACAGATAGAATCCAGGGTGACCTTTGCTCATTACTACAGAGAGGCACACAGGCTGGCCAGATGGCATGTCAAGGCCCTTCACAGAGCACCCTGGAATAAATGGTATCCCTGATGCAGGCCGTAGCTGATCATCGCGCTGCACACTCATGATGAGCACCCAGGGAACCTGGAACATCCAAACCTTGTCTGTTACACCAGCAAAGAAATCAGCCGAGCAAACACCCATATCAGGGTGCAGTGAAAGTTTAGAAATGTGGAGGCACTGGAGATTTTAACCAAGGTGGCAGCTGAACAACCAAGGGGATGATAGAAAGGAGAATCCCATAAAAGCCAGGGCTTTGCACGGATGCCATCCCCGACCTTTAGTTTGGTGGTATTTGCCTACCTTTTTATAACTTCTTGGGAACCAAAGTCTACACACTCTAAGAACTAAGAGCAATTGGTCTGCAGTGTCAGAGAATTCTTTGAGTCTCTATCACATGCCTATTGGTGACTTTCTCCTTGAGACTTTGCATTGGGACACTGCATCGGTACCATTTTTAAACACTACCAAACCAATAGCTCATAACAATATTTTCTTTTCTTTTTTTTTTTTTTTTTTTTTTTTTTTTTGCTTTAACTAGCACAATATCTTTTAAAAGAAAACCCAAAATTTGGCCTTAGGACAATCAAAGTTTCTACTTTGTCACAGAGACACAAAAACAATTGTAAATTTCCTGATCACTTCTTCCTGGGGCTGTTAAATGAGACTCGAGATTATTTTTTTAATTATGGTGCAGTTTGAATCTCTTAAACCAGGGTATGACTGATACCTTTGATGGTCAGCTAAATGGTCATCTCTCTTCTTTTTAAGAAATTAGTAACAACTTTGCCAGCATGTGATGTATACTCCCAGCAGCAAGAAAATTATTTTGGAATTGATAAAGGAAATAGAATACTGAAGGAAACTCGAGGCAAAGCATATGGGCTGACGAGCAGCATGAGGTAAGGCACTGATTTACAGCCACTGTCGCATGCCGTAAATGTTGGTCATGGGCGTAGAACTAGGCTCAGCTCTTGTGGGTACTCAGTCAGCGTGAGCTTGTATTACTGTCATGAATAGAAATGGAGGGAAGGAAGAACCAAGCACAAAAGAATCAGAGCCTTTGAGGAAAAATTCAAAACAAAAGGTTCTGGAAAGGTGGAGTCTGGCGAGCTGGAGAGCCAGGCAGTGTGAATGCACACTTTGTGTGTCTTTAAGTGTGGCGAGCTTCCGGCTGAGGAGCAGCCAGCCTCCTCCCCCTCTTCCTCCCCCTCTTCCTCATACTCTGGGATGTGCTCGGCTAGTATCATGGCAGCGCTTTGAGAAGCTCCCCTCCAAGTCCCCCTGGACACACTCTCCTGCCTCTTGCCTAAAATAGCGACCGCCATTATTGCTTTGGGAAAAAGTTCCCTCATCCCTTAACGCCCCATTTTGATTTGTCTGTCTCTGCTGCTCCCTGACATCTGGACATAATTAGTGGCTTCCACCCTGGGGTCCATCCCTCAGGCATTTCCAGGCTGCAGATCATGCCTGTTAGTAAACAGGTCACAGAGTTGATTGTTTTTGGGTCAGTTTAGGACAACTGAAGAGTACACAAGGCCTTAATACTATTTAGTGACAATGTTATTTCCAGGGTGTGTGTGTGTGTGACACTGACTCAGGTTGGTCACCTGGAAGTGGAGATCCCAGCAGGGTTCAGGACTCTGTGTTTCACTGACAAATTTTTCATCATAAACCTCACGACACTGACAGAAGTGGGCTGAGGAGGGGGAAAGCGAGGCAGGGATGGGGTCTGAGTAAAGTCTGGCAAGGGCCTGATCCCCCAGGGAAGCACAAAACACACTGTAGGATCATCATCAGCCGAGACTCAGGGCACTACCATATTCCTTCATTGATCGGGGTGGGGGATTCGCCAGGCTCCCATCGGCCAAGGATGAGGCTCAAGAAAAGGGGGCACCTGTGACCCACATGGGAGCTGGCCACAGACTGGACCGGCCCAGGGCAGAACCCAACAGCATGTCACCAGCAGCCCCGGAAGGCCACACCCTGGCTGCCCGGCCCATGAGCAGGGCCTCTGGCTCAGCAGTCAGAAAGGAGATCCCTGAAAGCACTAAACTTTAAGCTTCTTCCTTTGTCCTTTGCCTTTCTCTCAACCTCTTCTAGTGTTTATTATATATTAAAATTTTAAATGATTAGTGTGAATTATACCACTCATCCTTGTATCATGTAATGCAATTTTAACTGAAATTACAAGATGTGAAATTACAAATGCATATTTCATTCTGCCCAGAGCAGCAGGGGGAAAATGAAGGCAGCTGCCCGTGTCCCCTTCCTTCCGGGTGGGGTCCCACAGCTCTCTGTACCTGTATTGGTCAGGGTTTTACTAGAGAGAACAGATATAACCCGGGATATACAGAAGCAACAAGATTGGCTTACGATAGTCAGTCACAGAGCCCGATGAGGAAGCGTGCAGAGGGTATCTATGCACTGGAGGCCGAAGGATTCAATCCAAGGCCTGGAGTTCACCCTAGTGTCTTGTGCAAGTCCACACCAGCAGGCTGATGGGTCTGCGACAGAAGGCCGAAGGCTCTGTGATGAAAGGCTGAAGAGTCTATGCCCGGAAAGCTCAAGAGTCCACTGGAAGCCAGGAGACAACGTCTAAACCAAAGGTGAAGAAGACTGGAGCTTCTCCCAGAATGGAATGGATTTGTCCTTCCTCCTCCCCTTTTACACCTCGAGGTGATAACCCACCCTAGGGTGGGTCTTCTTCTACATCCTTGGCTATAGAATTGCTAAACCCATTTAGTTAGCTTCTAACTGCCTCAAGTTGACACAATCAATCAACCACTACAGAACCCTCAGCCTGCAGGAGGGTAAGGTAGGACTGGAAGGAGAGGACACGTGGGCTGCCCCCCTTTCCTTTCCCTCTGGTCATTGCTCTCGGTGGCAGCAACTGGCCAGTCCCAGGTAAGAAGGGGTATGATGGGGCGCCCCGATGGTTGGTGTTGTTAGGGCGTCTTGCCTTGTTCTTTCATTCAAAGCCAGCTCTGGCCCAGGCAGGAAGCTTGGCCTTTAGTCACAGACACAACCCACCTACCTTGTACCTGATTCGAGTCTCACTGAATCCCTGTACCAAAGTCACAAAGTACCACTGAGGTACTTCTCTGGCTGAAAGTGAGACCTGGAGCTGAGGAGATGTTTGTTTTCCTATCTTGGTTAATTAGACACTCTGAGGCCTCAGAGAGTCATGCTGGCCCAGTCATGCTCGGACCCTCACTGTGGGAGGCCACGTGACAGCACCGGGGGCCCAGGGACTTCCCTCGCCGTCCCTCAGTATCAGGCATTAGGGAGATATTCTGTACAATATCTGGAGGGTGCAGACTTTGGGGCTATAACATGACAGAAAAGCAGAGGATGAGCATGAACAAGAGCGTAAACACATTGTTCCCATTCTGAGCAAAATCGGACTGCTGCTGCCCCCACCTCCTTGTGGTGTAGAGAAAAGTACGCGTTGCCTATCAGCCTGTGCCAAACAGCGTACTCACTGGCTCCACAGAAGCTGCTCTGCCCAGACAGCAGCTGCCAGTGGGGCGACAGCTTGGTTAACTCTGCCATCACTCACACTGTCAGCAACCATCCACTTTTTGCAGGAACGAGATGAGCCAGGTAAATGGGACTGTGATAGAAACCAACACCCCTTTATCTTTCAAGTCTTCAAGCATGGCGCCGTGAGGGATACCCCTGATCTGCCAACTGTATTGTTTTTATTTGCCATCTTATCTCACAGTTGGTGGGAGAAGGGTCATATCAAAGGTTTCCACTTAGTTTTTGCTGCCACAAAAGCTTTTACTGTCCAGGTCAAAGGATCAATACCAACTGAAAATCAGGTTTATCTCAGTTATATATTCAGGAATTGGATCAATGGGTGATCCTTATATACTCTGGATTGATGCTTGGTTTTGTAAGCCCAGTAAACTCAATATGAAAAGGACATGAGCGAACACCCCATTTATTAGCCTAGCCACAACTTCCCCGCTCCAACCAGGGGACTATGATGGTGTTTTGAGGGTCTGGTTATCAGCCTCATCTCAGATCCTCTATCTCCTAGCACTGAAAGGCACGGCATATTCCCTTTGCCAATAGGCAGCATTCCAGGAAGTAGCCATGGAGCTCTCTGAGGAAGGAGTCACGCTTGCCATGGTGTTGAAGAATTCTTCCTCATGGCGACCTGGCCTCTCTTTAGTCAGTGGCTTCTGGGGCTGAGAGGTGGATCAGATCCAGAAACTCGGCAGAGAATCACGGCTTTCCACCGGCACAGCGGACTTCAGACTTTTGTTGACTCACACTTGCTCGCTTCCGGTTATATATATTAAACAGTACTTGTGAACCATTCCTCTGTCTTGCTCCCGGGAACGCTGAGTTCTGTGATTCCACCTCTGCAGAAGAGCGCTGGCACTCAGGCTCCCTTATCTCCATTGCAGCCTTGCTGCCCGTGCTGATTACGTCATCTTGCTTTTGAGGGCTGAGGGCTACGATGCAGCCTCTGACAGCCGAGGGTCCTGTCAGGCACTCTGGTAATAAAGAACTCAGTTTGCCCTGTGAGTCTACAAAGAAGAATTAATTTATGGCTTCTCAGAGACACTGGTGTGCCCCTGGCCAATTCATGCCTGACTGTTTTGATAAGTGGAGAGTCTTCCAGCTGCCCACCAGGAATATAGTTAGCTGCCAGGCTTCCCAGCTGGCAGTTTAGACCCACTGTAGCATGCCTGCTTCTGTGAGTATCTATCTCTTCCTCCATAATCTACTACAGCACTTCTGGCATCTCTACTTCATTTCTTCTGGCCCACAACTTTTGCTAAGCTCTCAGTAGCTGCTCAGCAGTGCATCCATCTCCCAGAGCTCTTGCCAGGCTGTTAAGTCCTGGATCCCACATGGCTTCAAATCAACAAAGTCTCCCTCATCCAGCTTCATATTTGCTTCCAATCCATGCTCTCCAGTTGCATCTCCAGTTGCTCAGGTCCATGTCAGCCAGGGTCCTGCAGCTCCTTTGATGATAATGCCTCTCTCAGGCTCTAGCACTTTCCTTCTCCAAGCATGCAGAGATGTGACCCTAATCATCATAAAAGTAAGTGCTCAGGAGACAGACAGATGCTGAGAAAAGTCTGTGTTTGCTTATAAGACATATGCCCTGGAGGTCTCTGCATTGTCACAGGTATGGTAGGATAGAGTAGTGGGGCTCTATATTTCAATAAGGGTGAGTGGGTGGGTTCCTTCTGTAGCTTAAGAGCTCTAAGGAGAGGCTGACAGTTCGAGGGTCTCACGTGTGTCATCCCCCATCCCTTGGATCTGCCTCTTCCCTGGCAGGACCTGACTTTAGCATAGGGAACTTGCCTGGCCTGAGAATTCAGCCTTCTCTGATATTCAGTGATTGTCTTTTGACAAGTGTGATGGGTTGACAACTAGTGGTCGACTTGTAGCATCCAACTGACCTGAATCACCTTGGTGCTGGGTGTGGTTGGCCCACTTGAGATTGTTGCCAATGACGTGAAAGGGAGAACTGGAGAGGAAGAAGTGGTGGTGTTGGTTCTCCTGCTGCTGTTCATTCTTCTGGAGGTGCTTGTTAAGCTCCTTTCCTGATATAATCTTAGCTGTTATTGTCAGAGGAGCTCAAGACTTTGTTGTTGCTGAGAATGGCAGTGGTTCGCTTTGGTCCTTACTTTGAATGTCACTTCCTGGCTCCAGTGCAGATCCCTCAGCCTGCTGGCACAGACTTTCTAGCTTCCGCCACTGACCTTTGGGCCTTCCCAGTGCAGATATGTGAAACAGACTTGCATGAGACATTGTCATGGGCCCTAGGTCCTCAGCTGGACTCATGTAGGACATTGCCATGGGATCCAGGCTCTCAGCTGGATTCTTTGAGTCTTTAGTGTGTGGACGATTCCTTGCACCTTTTGTGTTGGACTCTTTGGGTTCCTATTACAAATAATTCTATAAATTATGTGGCATGTATTCAATTGTTTTCCTTGCAAACCTTGACTAAAACATCTCACCAGTTCTTCCTGTCTTCCAACTAAAAATAAATGTCTGTAAGCATTCCCCAAAAGACCAGCTGATCCTCATGGTACCTTGCTTTATACTGATGACTGATTGTCCTGGGCTTGTCGTTTCCCTCATCACAGGCATTCAGCAACAACCACCCTTTCAACAGCCCTTATTATTACTGTGTCTCCCACATTTCTTAGTTCCACAAATTCTGCTCAAATCAGTGTTTTATCGTGTCCCAGGTCCCTATAGGATATCTCTATAGTTTTTTAACAAGTATACCGTTTCAGGGACCTTCAGTAGGGTTACACACCCAGCCCCTCACTGCCAGCTGACCTGCCAGAGTACGGGCCATCTGTGAGCTATGAGTAGTGATTGGGCAGTCTGTGCACCAATCAGACACTGGGCATCAGAGAGGGCACCTGCGGTGTCTACCAACATTGCAAGGGCATTTTTAAATGTTTGAAAATGTTCCACGGGGCAAGTCTATGTACATTTCTGTCTATTAGAAGCTCATCTAGCAGCACAGTTTCTTCCTCACTAGTGGCACAGTTTCCTCCAATGCAGGTCTCTAATCTCCCTGGTGGCAGAGGCTCAGTGTTGTTCATCTTTGCATTACTCATTCAGGGGCTGATAGAAAATTGTTACTATGCAAACATTTACCAAGCAAAGGGCTTTTGGGGTAGATCACAGAGCAATTTGAACTGTGGGCTAAATACTTGGAGCATTATTCTATTGGCAGTTAGGAAGGGTTTGGAACATTTTTTTGGCAGCCATATGTAATGCATACTGGATCAGTAAGAAAGAGAAAAAAGAGAATAGCCATGAGCTATTGCAGTAACCCAGGCAAAAAGCAACAAGAAGCAGAATTCGAGTGGAGCCTGTGACCTTGAGAGGCAGATGCAAAAGTAATTTTAAAATATTGTCTACAGGGCCCAGATGGCCTCAGGCCGGCATCCAGTGCAGAGACATTTGGGGATTCTAATCAATCAAGTGAATGGGGCGGTTTGCACTTATATGCCCTCAGGCAGACAGAAGGAGCGCATTTCTCATGTTTGTTTGGAAGAAATATCTAGAAAACAAATTCCTACGGGTTTTTATTGTTGTGCACAATTGGACAATATCTCTAAAGCAGAAAGAGGGATATTCTTTTTCCTCCATATTTTTGCAGAACTGCACAGCTATGTTTGAGAAAAACCAAGATTGTCAATATGGAATTTGCTCAGTTCATCAAAGTGGCTTCCAATGACACTGCTTTTAAGTAAGTCATGCAGACAGTAACACAAGTGTCAAAGCTGCAGCTTCCGCACATTATTCTTAGCTGCACGCTGGACTGCATCCTGCGTGGAACAGTTTACCCAGGACTTAGGTCGGTCACACAATACCAGACAGTGCTCTTTTCCCTCTGAACTGTCCAGGCCTTGGCTGTAGGGAAAGATGTTGCATCCCCTTGGTGACTCTTGCCCAGGTGTCTCCAGTTCACACTGTTTTCCAAGAACCCCGGGAACATAGTTACATGGAGTGGACCTGGATTTGCCAAAGTTCTCCCTGGGGCTGGCTTGAGATTTTCTGTTGACAACATTCTTTTCCCCCATGGACTTCACCATTGCTGTTCGCTGTGGAACTCAGGTACCCTTTACCCTTTATGGCAGCAGCAAGTAGAGAGAAATACATTCTAACTGTCTCCATTGCAGCCTTGCCCGAATAGGGTCTTCATGAAATGATGTACAAAGAGCAGGGACAGCTGGAGAGCATTACAAACAAAGGATTCCCTAAGATATTTAAGCAACTTCGTGAGCTGTGTGCTCACATGCTTTGTTCATGCAGTGAAGCTAAGGTTGGAGTTTCACGTTTGAAGGACCAGCTTTAAAAGTGATACCTTGACCGGCGCAGCTCCCCAACGAAACAGGAGACAGGAGACGCTTTTGTGGACGACAGTTAACTGCTAGTTTATTTACGCGGGCTCTGGTTTATATATTCGGCCGTGACCAATCACAGGCTGCCACAAGGAAGCAGGGCAGGAATGGGATGCAGGCTCCGGCTACTATATCCAGCTGTGGCCAATCAGGAGTTGCCACAGAGTATGGAGTGAGCACGAAGTGCGCACAGGTTGGCTAATTTAAAGAGGGACGTAGCGCATTGTGGAAGCTGGCGTGGTCCTTAGTCCCAGGTGGGGTATGGTATGTTGAGCGCCTGCGCCCAACATCTCCCCCTTTCTTTATAACTGACGCAGGGTCTCCAGAGGTCGGTGCCCCTCGTGAGGTGTCACGCTGCAGTCATGACAGTGCCTCACTACTCGTTGGTGCTCTTTTGGAGGGGGCGGGAGTATTGTTTTATGAGCCCAACCCGCATGCTCACCAACGTGGGGACCGGGGTGTCTCCTGGCCAAGGACGACACCCCCTGCGATGCTTTGCTCCACACCTGCGTCACAGCATGGCGAGCCATGCTGCCGGGCTTTGACCAGATTCCATGATCAGCAATGCTTGTTTGATACTTTGTCCCTATTCCTTTGTCTGCGAATCCGACAGAGCAGAAGTAGACTGCCGAATGCGGCAAGTGTAGTTATGGTAGCCAGAGACCCTGTTCTTGTCCATTCCTTTATGAAAGCCAATTGGAGAGTTGGCCTGAGCTGGATCACAGGAAACTCATCTGAGTCCGTCATAACTGGAACCGGTGTGAACTGGAGTACCTGCATAACAACAGCTGAAAGTGCACTGTTATCCCAACATTGTAACATATAACAGGTTGCGGTGGAGCAATTTAGAAAAGTCATTGGCTGCAAGGACCGTACGAGATGCAAGAAGGAAGGGAAAAGGAGGCTACTAACCAGGGGAGTTCGCCAAGGTGCCATAGTTAATGGGAGTTGTGGGTATACTTGCTTGGTCTGGCTTGTGAGGCTCCTGTTGGTTCCCCTGTTCTGTGGTTGACGTTTCCTCTGGGTCGGTGTCTGGTGGTTTGCAGGGACGTATCAGGCGTTCCGGGACCCAGACAGGTTCGCTGCCTTCTTCCTGCGGGAAGATACAAACTGCCCCTCTCGCCCAACTAAGTACTGGGCTGGGGCCTCTCCACACCCCATGCAGGAGGTCTTTCCAGCGTACCCAACCATGTTTGGGTGCCACAGGGTTGGCATGTAGCTGTGCTGGTGTGGATCCTTGTGGGTTGATGTTTACAAAATTGTAAGTGAAGAGGGCGAGATTTAGTCTGGCCCTAGGTGTCATGCCCTGGGCAATACCCTCCTTTTGTTTAAACAGAATAGACTTGAGGGTTTGATATGGCCTAACTTTAATTGCTCTTGAATAAGTTTGGATGCGGCTTCTGCTTTGTCTAGTGGTAGGGCCGTCAACAATGGCAAGCCCCGACTCCTGCCAAGTTAACGAACTACACCTGGTGCTGACCCAGAGCAGCTGTGAGCTGCTTAATGAGCGGCATGGCTGTCTCCGCGTCCCCAAAAATTCTCCCTGCTGCCTCCATCATGCGTGCCACAAAATCTGAAAAAGGCTCGCTCGGGCCCTGTAAAATTTTTGTCAAGTGGCCTGAGACTTCTCCCCTAGCCGAGACCCGTTTCCATGCTTGTATGGCTATTTTATTTATCTGTGCATACACCTCTTGTGGAAATATCAGCTGGTTATTGAGATACTGCCCTTGTCCTAATAACATATCCGCGTTCCAGGCGGCCTGATTGTTCTGGGCATTAGCTTGGGCCTGTTCTGTGGCAAGTTCAACATTCCAAGCTTTCCAATCAAGATATTGGCCTGGGCTGAGCACTGCCTTGCACAAACTGGCCCAATCAGCAGGTGTCATGGCATTTCCTGCCATGGCTTCTACTAGGGACAGGGTATACGCCCCATTAACACCGTACATGGTGCTGGCCTCCTTAAGATGCTTTATCGCCTTCATATCTATAGGCAGGTGGGCTCTGTTTCCCTGAGCATCTACAGCAACCGGAAAAGCCTGGAGAAAATGGCCCAGGCCTCCTGGGTCCTCTCTTTTGACTTGATGCCAAAGGTCTTCCTGGAATGTCCCAGGGGACGTCTGGACCCGTTGCGGACAGCTACATAGCTGATGGCAGGGTCTCCGGTGAGCATGATAATCTGGCGGGTCGGGAGGTAGAGCTGTAGGTCTTATACGGGGCGGCCCTGGGATCCTGTACTCACTTTCATTGACCCATTTACTCTGAGAAATCCTGCGTTGCAGCTCATTTATGGCCTCAGAGTAAGGCCCTCTCGACTGCGTGTGTGTGACTTCCCCTCTTTTGGTGGTGTCTGCATCCACCATTTTGTATACTTTTTTCTCCCCCTCATTATCTGACGAGTCCTTTGTTTCTGAGTTGGGTGGGGTCACCTCGCCTGCGGCACTGGACTCACGAGATTGCTCGCGGGAGGATTCTGCCTGATGGTAATCAAACGCCATGGCGCCAGCCCTTATATGGTCACGACAAGAGGTGTCTGCAAGGCAGCTTCTCACCACTGCCCAAAGGGGTCTGACTCCTGGCTCCAGGAGACCATTTTCTGCTGTAAAGTCAAGATCTCTCCCTAATTTATCTCAGCTGGGGATGGTAATGGACCCCCGTGGGACCAAACCAAGGTGCTACCTTATCTACCTGATCAAGGAAGTTTTGAATTTGTTCTTGTTTCATTTGTAATCCCTTTTCTCTCAGTAAGTCGCTTAAGGCGACTGACAGTGGCTGAGTAGCCGTGTTACCCATGTTAACCGGAATTTCAAGAGTTTCTTTTTATTTATTTATTTATTTATTTATTTTTCCTTTTTTTTTTTTTTTTTTTTTAATACAGGGACAGCTTAGTCCCCGCGCCCCTTTACGGCGCCCCCAAAACCGGCCTCTTTACGGCCCCCGGAACTCTCTTTACGAGTTCCTGACCCTTGCGACGCGTCCGCCCAAGGTTGCCCGATAGCCCCCGCCATCCGGCCCTGTTGTGTAGCACCCGCTACCAACGTTGAGCAGTTTAACCTGTCAGCCCCCGTCCGCCAAGTAGCCCCCGCTATTGGCGCTTGACGGTTTTACCTGTTAACGTCTCTGTTCCGTCGGAGAGAGAGGTTTGTTCCCCGTACTGTCGGAGAGAGGGTCTCAGCGTTCTGGGCTCCCCGTACGGGCCACCAGTTGACCGGCGCAGCTCCCCAACGAAACAGGAGACAGGAGACGCTTTTGTGGACGACAGTTAACTGCTAGTTTATTTACGCGGGCTCTGGTTTATATATTTGGCCATGACCAATCACAGGCTGCCACAAGGAAGCAGGGCGGGAATGGGATGCAGGCTCCGGCTACTATATCCATCTGTGGCCAATCAGGAGTTGCCACAGAGTATGGAGTGAGCACGAAGTGCGCACGGGTTGGCTAATTTAAAGAGGGACGTAGCACATTGCGGAAGCTGGCGTGGTCCTTAGTCCCGGGTGGGGTATGGTATGTTGAGCGCCTGCGCCCAACATCACCTGAATGTTTGCATAAGAACAACTAAAATAACACATCTCCTGCCCTCCTGAGACCTTCTCTCTAAAACTTTAATAAATCAGCACATGTGCAGAGAGGCTCAGAGGGGACACAGCGGAGGCGTTTATTTGCATTTAGACCTCACTATACAACAAGAGAGAGACTAAGAGCACATGGCCCCTTCTCCCCCTTCTACAACTCTACCCACCCCTAAAACCCTTGAGCAATATCTGGAGCAGAATGGCAGTTAGAAAACAAAGTTAGAAAGATACTTGATCTAGAGCAGGAGTTTCTAACCTTTTCTCCAGTAATCTAAAACCCACCAACCATTTCCCTTGAACAATGTTTTATGTGGATAGAAGAGGAAGGGATCCCAGAGGCTTCCCCGCCTCCTGTGGGGACCCCATTCTGGAGGCACTCACTGCCTGTCACATGACCACAGCTGCTGCCCCTCTTTGAAACTTGATAGGACAGGAGTCTGCATGTCTCACTTGCAAAGGAAAGCCAAGACTCTAGTGATCTCTGACCTGGTGAGGAGGAAAACCATTACAAAAGAAAAATAGTTTTATTTCTTCATAGAATATGTATCTGACAGCTCTTCCAAATTGTAAGATTTCCACAATAGAGCCAGTTATCGTGTTTCTTTTTATAGTCTTCTGTGAAGGTTTCCAAATTGCTCTTCTTTATTCTTTATTCCATAATGAATTAAATCATTTGAAGACAGGGCTTAAAAATTAGAGCTGTCCAGAAGGTGAGGGTTTTTCTAGGCCCATGAGCTCTGGTTGACCAGGGCCAATGTCTTTCCTGCTCACAACACAGACTCAAAGAGCTGGGCCTGGGAGTGAGCCTTTCCGACTCCTTTCAATTCTGAGACTCAACGTTCCAAGTGGGCTGCGGGTTGCAAATTCAGCTCCACGCACCATCCATGAGGTGTACGAGTCTGTGCACCAAACACTCCACTGCACCCTCACGGTGACATGCCTGGATGCCATGCCAGGCTAGTCTGCAGCTGATTGGGTGCTCCAGAGCGGGCCTAACCCCTCGGGAGGGAGCAGCTGCAACACACACCAAGACTTCACAGCCAACGCCTCTATCTGTTGCTTTACCAGCGGCCACCAGGTATGCTTGAGACCTGATCTCAAATATTGAAAGTGTCTTAGAATGTGGTTCTTATATCAATAAAAAGATACCCAGAAACTATGCAGGAGAAGAGGGGCATTGAGGGAGATGATCCTACTTATACATAATTTCTGGGAGCTATACTATATTTAATGTTGCATTTAACCCATAACAATTTATTGAGGAGACTGTGTGTTTGTCAGATGAAGAGGAAGCTGAGGTGAGGAATACTTAAATGACCAGTCCGAGTTTATCCCCAGTATGTAACAGAATCAGGGTCCTGGTCCAGGTCGCCTGACCCTAAACTTGAATGTTCGTTTCTTATTCATTGCCCAGGTGGTTTTGAAATGTGATCAAGTAAACTGCTACCAGAATTAAGAGTAAAACACTCAGCTGAGGACTCTCAACCAAGAGTCTAAGAGGAAAAACTCACTTTGAGATTGCTCAAAGATTGGGGCAAAAATGAAACAGTGAACCTGCTGCCATTAGCATGAAAGACAGGATGAAGGAAATCTGCTCCGAATTCTCTCCAGGGAGGTCCTGTCAACCCAGAACAGAGTTTCTGAGACTTTGCTATTTAGCACAATCCTGTGGAGAAACCAAACAAGATCTAAGTGTCAATCTACTGCCTGGCCAACCCACTGATGCCAGACATGGAACTCTGTCCCAGCATTATCGTAGAATCCCCTTACTGGCCTAAGTAGAAGGCTTCCAAACACTGCGGTTACTGGCGTGGTATCACTGTGATTTTACTGGTGGTGTTTTGCTTTATCTCTCTCAGTACAAGGTTGTGCTGCTTCCCATGCCCATCTGTGTGGAGCTGGGCATGCAGCATTCCGTCGATGTCTGTTTGCCTCAGTCTTTGGAAGAGGAGTTCCTCGCTCACTCACTCTCATGTCCTGGTGGATTCTGTCAGCTTCTCAGCTTCTCAGCTTCACCACTGAGTGTCATTGTAATTCTACCTGCAGACTCTGACAAGAAACTTCTTGAAAATATAAACTCACCTGTTGAAGAATGAAAGTCACCTAATAGCCATTGCTAACCGTGTATGACAGCATGTCTCAGTATTAAAGTGCTTTACACATTATATTTAATCTTCACCACAACCCTGTGAAGTAAGTGTCTTTACTTCACAGATGGAGAAACTGAGGCACAGAGTCACAGAGCTAGTGAGTGAGGAGTCAGAAATCAGCCCTGCAATGCCTGGGTCAAGACAGATGAGCCAGTGCAGCAGACAGGCATTGCAGAAAGTTTGGAGAAGAAATCCCACCACTTCGATTCTTCCTGTTTTATAAATTCTCATCCTGTGCATGCTATGCTTTTAGATCATTGTGACCAGAGCGCTCACACAATTACATGCATAGATTTCTCAACTTCCTCTTGCATCATAAGCAATGTCTGATGGTACTTGTGTTGGCTTCTTAATGTTTTAGGAACCCTAGTATTTTGAGTGACTCCTTTGGGCATCCATCTCCTGCATGTGCTTAAACATCTTACTCTGTGTCACCCTTTAAGCTCACCACTGGGCAGAGTTTGGGTGCTGAACACACTTATGTAATTTAATCTATGATGCTTTGTGGTCGCTTAGATCTAGAGTGTCCCCCAAAAGGCTCATGTGTTCAGAGGCAGGGCTGGTGGAAAATGATTGGATGATGGAGATGCTGTACGTATCAGCAGCTGTGCTATTGGATGGCAGGGCATGGTTGGAAGAGCTGGGTTGCTAGGAGAGAGATCTGGAAAGATGTATCTCCCACCCCGATTCCTCCCTTCTCTCCCTGCTTCCTGGCTGCATGCACTGAGCATCTTTTACTTTGCCAGGCCCTTCCATCATTCTGTTTCTTCCTTGTAATGTGTCAACCAAGCACTAAAACTGTGAGCCAAAATAAACCTTTCCTTCTCTAACTCGTGGACATTGTATATTTTGTTGCAGCAATGGGAAAGTCACTAAGATACTCTAGTCACAGCTGTGTAAATAGATCTCTTTTTAATACATATTTTAAGTGTATTAAAATACATTCCTAATTTACTGAAGGTCTTATAGGTTTTGAATTTTTCAAATTCTTTTCTGGGGAGTATCCTACTGTTAATTTTCAGAATTGTCAGTAATATATGAAAGTACCAGTTTTATCCCCTTTCAGCAGAATTCTAAGGAATTATGTGGAATTTTATGAAGTAATTTTGTGGATAAAAAGTCAGATTGATGGGCTGAGGAAATAGCTCAGCAGCTCAGGTAACTTCCTGGCAAACCCAAGGTCCTGAGTTTGATTCCTGGTACCCCCTCCCAAATCACACTGCTCTGTTAAAATTACATTTATGAATATTTGTAAAGAGGAGAGAGGCAAGTGAAAGGAAAGGAAGAAAAGAGTGAGCAGTATATCCAGTGAAATTTGAATTTCAGAAGAACAACAAATTCTTGTGAAATTCAAGCAATAAGTTTTAGTGCATGTATGTTCCAAACATTTCCTTTAAATGTTGCATGAGGAATACTTCAATGAAAAATTATTCATAGTTTCCCTGAAATTTGGTTTTAACCAAAGGTGGTCTAAACTCACAGCTGGAAAGTATGCAGTAGTGAGGCAGGATCCACCATACTATGATGGAACTAGAAAGCAGAAGTGAACGCTTAAGCGGGAAGGTCAACTATCATGCTCCCCCCCATAAAATTCATCTTCTTTGCTGAAAATCTGAAAATACGACTGTGCTTATGAACCAACCTATGAGTAGGAAAAGGAAGAAGATCAGATCAAAAGGTTTAATTCAGGGACAAAAGTGTTACAGTTAGGAACACAGAGAGTGGAAAAATTTAATGAAATCCTAGATCACTAAGGGATGCTATTAGGAGGAGAATCATAAAACTCAGTTTGATAAAAGCCAAGATACTCCATATCATTTTAAGTCTATGCCTTAAATATCTTTAAATTTTGAAAATTCCAAAGATTATCACTTGGTGCTCTGTTGAATGCATTTATTCAAATTCTCTCTGCCCTGAACATATCACACCAGCCGTTGTGCTGGCTCTGAGGTGTAGAATACAGTTCTTGACCTCAAAGAATTCATTTCAGTACAGAAGGCAGTCTCATAAATAAAACTGTTGCAGTGGTGCTTAATTTCAAATTATTTACTTAATAATTTCAAATTTCAAGTAAGTGAATAATTTGAAATTAATTTTAAAATATGTCCTTTTACCCATTTTCAAGCAATCATTCTCTTACATATAGCCATACCCTGAAACGTGAATAAAAATTAAGGGAACACCCTCCTTGGAAAGCTGTCACAAGCCTGGGAAGCAGCCCTGGAGGCCCTATGTTTGAAGCCGTATTCCCTAAGGGCTGAAGCAGAGACGGGTGCCATGCCTGTGATTCCTGGGGGAAGGGGAGCACCGGGCAAGGAAGCCGTAAGGGTATGGCCCTGCTGGAGCGTGGCTTTGGTCCATTCCCACAGGGAGCTCCACAGCATGAACTGCATGCCAGAATTGAGTCCAGTGGCAGACAAAGGGGCGATTCTAAGTGTGCCCAGATGGTTGGCGCCTGGCACACCACCACTACCACCAGCCCCAGGAAGCCCATATAGCCCCGGACATGGTGGCTGAGTGCTGATTTCTGAAGAAGACAGCTGTGAGCCTTTAGGAGCCAATGCCATCGCATCCAGAGGATGGGGACACCAGCCTGCCAAAGAGGATCCAGGCTAGGTGCCAACAGTGCCCACAATAGCCCAGTAGGAGAAATTACATTGCATTATTACACACTGATGTGTTTGATGCCACACAACCCATTTTGCTGCTCTGGGAAGATACTTAACCTCTTTGGGACTTGCCCATTTAAAAATTCATTCTCCTTCTCAGCCAAATCATTTTCTGCACCAAAGTCCATCTAATACCTAGAAAACCAAATGAAACTTCTGTTCAGTGCTGGGTGCTGCTCAGCACAGATGCCATTTGTTCAGCAAACACGGTGAGACTCTCAAGATTTGTTTTCCGATGCCAAAATTCCATGACATTTGCCTCCATGAAACTGTGTTTAGATTCAAAAGTATCTAAAGCATTCAAGACTATTAAACTGCCATTCTCCTTTCCAAACCCTGAAATGGACTACTCATAGGAAGCATAAAGTCTTTAGAAGTTTCTAGGAAAACGGAGTCATGCTACAACAAAATCCTATAGCTGATTCGGACTCTTGCCGACTGGTCCATCCACTTGGTTGCAAGAATGGCCACGTCTAGGAGCTCTGACCCTCAGCTGTCAATCATCTCTGGTCAGCTACTTATCCCCAGCCCTACACTATCTAACTGTCCTCTGCATCCCTTTCCACTTGGCTTGTGATTGGTGAGTGCAGGGGCAATTTCACATGAAATAATTAAAGACATAATATTAGAAATGTAAATAGACTTCTTTAAGGAAGAGTGCTTTGTAAAGCAATAACTACAAATTAGACAGAGTGGCAGGAAAAGTCATCAATGAAATATCCACCTCCCTATGACCCTGGGGCTTACTGTCTCCAGTGGATGTGCAATCAGCAGGCAACAGCACCGGAGGAGAGGTTTCAAAATCCTAGCAGAGCATTGCCCTGAAGAAAATGTGACATGCTGCTGTTACATGGTTTTCTGCTACTGTAACAACATGCCTGCGGTAATCTACTCATAAAGAAGAAGGGTTTATTTGGGCTCACAGTTGTTCACTCCATGGTCAGTAGAGCCCATTGCTTTTGAGCCTGTGGCAAGGCACCTTCTCATAGCAAGGAGCTGTGGTGGAGCAAAGCCGCTCACTCATGACCAGGACAAAAGAGAGCTCAAGGTAGGGGCCGAGATACTGCTATCCCCTTTGAAGACCCATCCCCAGGGACAGAAGCCTCCCACCAGGCCTCTGCTCTTCCGTTTCCTGTACTTGTCATTAGTGCTACTAGAGGGGATAAGCCTGACCCACGGGGAGACAGAAAGATCCAAACCGTAGCATTCTCCTTTTTATTGCAGGAATCTCCTCACATTCTTAGCAGAGACTCACATGCATGAGACACTCAGGGCAGGTGTGTTGGGAACACACTGACGTGTTTAGAAACCACAGACTCAGTCTCTCAGCCCGGACAGTTACAGACAGAGTGTGCTGGTTTGAGGATGGTCACTGGGACCTCTCAAGGCTGGCAGGGGTGTGAAATCATTTGCCCTTTTTATGAGCCTGTCTAGTACTTCTGACCTAGTCCTCTGAATGCCAGTAACACACCACACCCAGTTGCTGCAACTCCTAAAACCACTCCATCGAGTTTCCAGAATGCTCCCTGGGGGAGATGCCGCCCATTCTGAGAACCTCAGGGCAGAGATCCTGGGAATGAAGGTACCTTTGCAGGAAGAGAGGAAGTTTAGATTTTACCCAGTAGTGAGAGGGAAGTACCCAACAAGTTTAAAGGGAGGGATCATCTAAACCATGCTGAAAAGGATCACTGTGAATCAGGGCAGAAAATTGATCACAGGGAACAAGCATGGAAGCCGGGGCGCCTATCAGGAGGCCGCCGAGGTCCTCTAGGGGAGTGGCAGGGAGATGAGGAGCAGTAAATGTACCCTAGACATCCTAGATGGAATGGAGAAGGCTCAAACTGGGGCAGTTAAACTCTTCTTTAAAAATATAACGGAATATCCCCTTTCCCATAAAAGTTGAAACAAGCTCCAGGGAAGCATTTGTCCTTATGATAGTTTTATGACCTATGCCATTAATTCCCCAAACTTATCTGTAAAATACTGGTTTTACAATGTGAATGAGGATTGTTGGATATAGGGCAAGTAGTTAAGTATCTGTGGAAATACTGACATTAAAAAGTACCTTTCTTACAAGATGTGGCAATGCACACTAGTAATGCTAGCACTTGGGAGGCTGAGGCAGGAGGGTTGCCATGAGGCCAGCCTAAACTATATAACAAGATCCTGTCTCAAAAAAATCAGAGAAGGAAAATAAGTATCTTTCTTGGAGGGCTTTTGGGAGCCTGTAATATGTTGACCTGTCCTATTCCTCTCTCAGAAGGCAGGTTAGGGTGGTGTAGAATTCACTGTTTACACAGAATTGGAAAACTGACAGGAGAATTTTATGGAATCAGAGTTTACTCTGCCACCATAAGAAGCTCTGTTTAAACCTTAATTTCTTAATTTAATACAAATGAACCACTTAGTTAAAAGTCTTTCAAATCTAAGACAAATATAGTAGCTAGTAAAAAATGATGATGCCAATTAAAAGGTTGTTTTCTTTGCCATAATCCAAGAAATATAAACATCCAGCTGAAGATTTATTAAATAACTGAACTGGTAAAAATTTTCAGTCTGGGACCATTTAAAGGATTGCGCTGAATCTCTTTTGAACAATTATTCTCAGAGATCTGTTTTTTTAATATAACAAGAATCTTGGACAACAGACAGTTGGAACACAAGTCTTCCTTTCTTGTTATTTCAAAAGCTCAGCCTTATTCCCCAAAGCAATTCATTAGAGGATTTCTGCAGCAAGCCGGCCATGGCAGAGGATCTGCTGCACAACTGTGTCGAAACCACATAGAAGGTGGGGGTCTCGGGAGCTCCCTGTGCATCTGAAAGGCTGGCGCCAGCATCTCAAGCAAACTGAGACTGGTGAATTCTGCTAGAGACCCAAGAGTTGTGAAAATGCCATTTAGAACATAAGAGTTTAGCACCCAGCTGAACAACCACAATACGCATTATGCATGGTGCCCACAGAGCAGACAGAGCAAAACCCACAGGACAGCCAGTGTGGGGAAGAGGGCGGGTCTTGCAGTGTGGGTGTATTTATTCAGAATTCTTGAGTTTTAGGGTTTGGAAGGAACTCTAACCAATTTCTTTCATCCTCAAACTTGTATTTCACAAATTTGGGTTTTAGAGTCCAAAAACACTATGTAACTGGCTCGTTCCGCTTAGCTGCAGCAGGGACTCTCAGCTTCAGCACTGTGGACGTTTTGAGCTGGGGAACTCTGTGGTGGGGCTCTTGTTTGCTATAGGGTGTCAGCCACATCCCTGCCCACTGGATACCCTTATTACCCTCCCTGAATTGTGAGGTCCAAAAATGTCTCCAAACTTTGTCAAATGTCCCCTGGAGGGCAAAACTCCCCGTCCCTGGGAACCAGTGCTATAGACAGATACACAGGCAGTTGGGCGTCCTGAGTTCGAGACCAATGCTTCCTCCTTTAGGGCCGGGCCGGGGAGTCTGAGTTTACCATCTTGGAATATGTGACTAAGGAAATAAACCCTGTAGGTGTGATTGTAAAAAAAAACTATGATGAATGTTAACTGTTTAAAATTTTGTTACAATAAAAGACACGTTGCCATGGATGCCCCTCAAAGCACCTCACTTCACTTCAGACACCCTATCCTGCTGTCTTGTCACTTTCTGGAGCAGTTCTGGAAATCCTCTTTCATAAGTGTCTTTAGTTGCACTGTCCTGGCTTCCTCAGCGTCCTAAATTGTTTCAAAACATTTACCTTCCATTTTCATTTTGACTTTGGGGAAGAGCCACAAATCTCCCAGTGCCAGACCAGGGGACTAAGGGGGTGAGGACACACGGTGATGTTTTTAGGAGCCTGCCTTTCCACTGGATGGGGAAGCAGCATTTACCGCATTCTGCGTCACATCTTATAAGGACACTCACAACAGAGGCCATCCAGAACTGCTCAGAAAGCGGCAGAAATGATGGATGAGTGTGTTTGGGAGTATTTGGGAGACATCAATGGCAATGTGTCTTTTACTATAACAATTGTTTTAAACATTCACTGTGTCACGTCCCATAGGACTTTAGAAATTGAAGGAATAAACCAATAGTAACACTTGCCTTTATATCATGGCTTAAAACAATTTATTTCAAGGCTTTTCACTGTCTTTTCGAGTAATGGTCATTGAGTGCTTGCTATATGCCAAATGCTGTTCTAAGTACTACTCAAACATTACTACTTTTGGTCTGTACAACAATCCCGTGTAACATTTAAAGCTACAGCAAACAGCATGCTTCGCTCTGGTCCTCATTCACCCCTGCCTTGTGCCTTTCTCCCTGCAGCCTGCAAATGTCACCCCAGGACACGGTCAGGTCCAGCTGCAGGTGCTGGGAGGCCAGTGCCAATGCAAACCTCCTGTGACTGGGAATCGCTCCGACAGGTGCTCTGCTGGAAGCTGTACTTTGGGACATCACGGCTGTCACTGGATGGAGCCAAACTGTGAGGGGAAATGTGTTTGTTCACCATCTTGGTGTTTTGAAGGCAGACAAAGGGGAATGGGAGTTTTCAAGGAGCAGGAACTGGGGACTTGCCACACAATTCAGATTTAGTCTGTCTACGTGAACAAAATGTGCCAGAAGATTTTCTAACATACTTGATTCACAAGTATGGCCAATGGCACAGTGTGGAGGGTTCTCCTAGGAGCCCCAAGTCATGAACAGAACATGGCCCACGCTTCCAGGAGTTTGCATCTGCGTCAAATGGGCTGTAGCCCGGTGACACAGGCAAAGCTGTGAAAGCAGCTGGTCGCACACACCCAGCTCTACGGTCTGGCCTGTAAACCCAGTGACTGGGGGGGCGAGCACCACGGTGAAGCTGGGAAGTCAAGGAAGAAACGACACTGTCGCTCTAGGTAAGGCTGGGCTCCAGACAGCCTTACAGATCATTTTCTAACCTCTGTCTAAGGATGGTTTACACAGAGCTTCAACCGTGGTTAGTGGTTCAATCTCGTGCCACCCTGTCCTGTGTCCTACGTAAACCACTAGTGAGAAGGTTGCCCCAACAGAAACCTATGCTAGGGCCCATCAAATCTATGGTAGGTTAATTCTCCTTTCCAGCAGGGCAGCATAGCTTTTGGGCCATGATTCAAAGAGGTTGTCTCCCTCTTGGGTACTGCTTGGGCATAGATGTCTCCTCCGCACAGTGAACAGGTCCTGCACTGCTTTCTTGTTTTAAGCTGCAAAATGCTGGAGACACACAGAGGGATCTACACAAGTGAACAAATGTCTCTTCCATTCCGTGCGGTCTTCACTAACACCGTGTAGCCAATGGACCTAGAATTCAAATCCAACAATTCCAGCCACAAAATCTGTACTCCTTTTGTTGTTTTCTTGTTTGCTTGCTTGTTTTTCAATACTGGGGATTGAACCCAGGCTTTTACACTGAGCTCCGCCCCCAACTCTGTTTGTTTGTTTAATTTTGAGAGGGGTCTCGGCAAGTCACCAAGTAGCCTAGGCCAGAATCAAATTTTCAGTCCTCCCCCTTCATCCTTCCAGAGTGCTGGGATTACAGGCAGTGGTTTGGGATTACAGGAACTGCTCAATTTTACAACTTTTTTTTAACAATTTTATAAATTTCACTTATACTTTGACTTCTAAGCTTTATGAAAGCTTAGGTCATTGCAATCATGTTGCTTGTTCAGTTCCTCTGTAAAAACCACAGATATGTTTAAGGATCGATTGTTCACAACCTGTCACTTACTGAAGGAATCAGTAAATCATTATTTACCCAAAACTCACGATACACCTGGGTTTGTCCTAATCACACTATAAACTCTCTGTATTCACCTCGGCTGGGAAAGGGATGCAAAGTGAGAACTAACATTTCCACCACCGAGCCACTTCCCCCAGCCCACCGCAGTTCTCTGTGCTTTATCCAGCATGTGACTGTGGTCCTCAAGGCTCAAAGAATACCGTGTGTGACCACGGAGGGGCGGTGGGCACCACTGCGAGCTGAGCCCAGCAGAGTACTTTGGGTTTCCCAGCTGTCACCCTCACCCTTGCAATGGGTTTGCTGAACTTTGCGATCCAAAGATAGGGTCATGTTTCCGATGTGGGGGCTTAACAACATGTGAGAGGTATGGAATTCACGTGCACTTTAATTTTTAGATTTTTAAAATTTTATTCTGGTTTCACAGTGGCGGACATATGAGGACTGACCCAGCAGTCTGTGCTGAACGACTCGTATGGGCGGGGACGATGAGGGTTCTATCATCCTTTAAAATCAGCCCAGGAGCCAAAAATGTCTGATTAAATCTACTGATTTAACACATTTGCCTGACCCATTATTTTTATGTTTTTCAAATGTGACACATAAATCATAAAGGTTAATGGCTGTACCTCGAAGTTTTCACTATAAATAAAAATTTTTTTCACAGAAAAAATAAGCATCTTCTAGAACATTGAGTTTGAAAGTTGCATTTGTCCTAAACCATGTTGGGTAACACATGATATTTTCTTTTTTTTTTTTTTTTTCCCCCTCCCCTTAACACATGATATTTTCCCAGAACATTTTGGTAAAAGGAAATTGCCTGACAGGTGCATGGATGGTTGCTATGAAACCCTTGTTAGAACAATCCTATTGTCCTTGCCTGTGTCCCCCCAGCAATCAGCATTTTGCCCATCTGTGTCATCAGAATCCTTGGAGCTCAGGTATAATCTGCGGCTGTCCTCAAGGTTACACAGTTGTGACTTGGTCACATGCTCATAATGTGTCTGCCTGGCACAGGTGCAGAACGTATTAAGGAAAGGAGGCACAGTATGCTGCCTTGCTGAAGGAAGAGCTCAGCGATCCAAAAAGCAGTGGCAATCTCTCACTTGACTGCACTGTAATTGCTTTTAAATAATGTTTTAGAAAACTTGTTGACCAAATGAGATCACATCAAATTAATTTAATTAAAATATAATCATCACATGCTACTAAGATGTACAGATATTCATATGCATGAATAGCATATAAATTATATATAACATGTTACATAAGCAATTAAGAAGTACAAGTTCAATTAGCCAAAAGCTTTCCTTGTATTATTGCAGGCAACCAATTTCACTGATTTTTTTTTTTTTTTTTTTTCTTTTTGAGACAGGGTCTCACTATGCAGGTCAGGTTGGCTTAAATTCACCTTGTAGTCCACGCCGGCCTCAAACTCACAACAATCTCCCTGCCTCAGCCTCCCGAGTGCTAGGATTACAGGCATGTGTCACCATGCCCAGCTTGGACCGATATTTCACAGATACAGCTAATTTTTTTAATGTCTGGGAGCACTACTTTGGCTATGTAAGTCTTAGTTCAAAATTTGCTCCATCAAAAATTTTATTCTAAAGAGCTTAAGCTATGAGTATGAATATATAATGCAAATAAGAAGAAAACTTACGAAGTCTACTTGCTTCCATCCCACTTAGAAACCCAGCGGTATTATTTTCTTTGATTATACTTACCATCTTAATAAGCAAATCACATGACAGATTGTCTTCCCGTTTGTTACAGCTGAGGTTACACCTGGCTTGTGCTGATTCTTCCCTCTTCTCCAAGCAGGTTTGACTTGATTGCAGTTTTAAGTACTGAAGGTTGGAGTGGTCAGCAGTGTTGGAGGGAGATGTGTGGCCACCCAGGGCTCCGTGACCCACCCTGGGCTTGGCTGGCTTCACGGTGGACACCTCTCTCAGGCTGTCGCTGTGGGCAGCCTGGTTCACTGCTGGACCGAATGGGAGCTGCATGTTCCCGAGGACGGGAGTTGGGCAGAGCTTGGCACCCAGGGCCCACGAGAGTAACCGTGGATAGACATGGACCTAGAATCCTGTGCCCACCGTGTCTTAGTTTTGGAAGAAGGACAGAAAGTCATTCTTCACCAAGACATTTTAGCTCTGAATGACTTTCACTGTCGTTCTCTGACTGAATAATACATAAAAGTTAATGATTTGGGGCTGGGGATTTAGCTCAGCGGCATAAGCGCCTGCCTTGCGAGCAGGCAGTCGTGAGTTCAATCCCTGGTACCGATAAAAATGAAAAAGACAAAAAAAAAAAAAAAAGTTAATGATTTGTTTGATTTATAATATTCTTCCTTATTCACTCCCAAATGTGTCTTATCACTGACCCTAGTGGAGCTCAGGGACTCCCTGTTTTCATGGGCCTCTTTCCTTCCCCCAATATTCATGCCTCACCCCTTTCTAGGAATTCAGTGTGAAGATTGCACCTCCTGGTTTCTATCGTAACCCACAAGCTTCTGGAGCACCTTGCCAGCCAGGTGTCTGCAACCACAACCCGGACAGATCGGACCCAAAGCCCCACAACCAGGAGACAGGGCACTGCCTTAGATGCCCGCACAGTACCCAGGGCCCAAACTGCCAGCTCTGCAAACCAGGTCGCTTTGGATCCACCCTCAATCAGAGCTGCAAAAGTAAGTCAGCAAAGCTCCCAGGGGAGACCGAGCACAGCTCATAAACGGGAGTCAGCTCCCTCAGGCTTGCTTCTTTCCAGCTGGTGCCCCCAGTATCCCCTCGCTGGATGGCAGAGCCCTGGCACTGAACTTGTCAGCAGAAACAGAGGCGATGCCACCACGCTCCGGGGTGTGGTCATGATGTACTCACTGAGGTTGTTAGTTTCCCTTTTATGACTGTTGCTTTTAACACTGACTCCTCTGATGAATGTAATCACTATGCGCTACAAACATGCACCAATAAAAAGAGAGAGAGAAAAAAACCTGGTAAGCGCAAAAGTGGTGAGTTCCATCTCCCGTATCAAAAGAGGGGGAAAAAGTTTTTTAAAAAACCAGTAAAAAAGATAGTAAGTGGTCATATAGCAGTTAGTCTGATTTTAAATGAAAGATTTCAGAGAATCATTAGAACCTCTTGCACTTTTCAGAACAGTCAATGGACGGTCTGAAGAAAGGCCCACAAGGATTTCTCGTGCGAGCCATTAGAGTGGATTTGCTTAATTAGCATCTTCTAATTTCCAGGAACTCTGTAAAAGGATGAGTTGTAACTAGTAGCTCCAAATCTATGTCTGCATTCCACCTCTCATAACTGTCCTTTTTGCATAACTTTTTTTTCCACCTCAATCGTGCTTCTTTTTTGTTGTCTTTATTTTAAATGTAAAGCAATATTGCTTCTGAAGGAAAGCATAAAAGATAAAAATAATAATAAAAATCATGCATCATCCCCTTACCCACACACCATTGCTTATGATAAAAACTAATGATTTTGCTTTGCTTGCATTTCTCCCTTTGGGGGTCAGACTTTTCTAAATGTAGGGGTTTTTAATGTATTTCTATTTTTCTCATATTACTGCCTGCTGTTTATGAAAATCTTCATAAAGTTTCATCCATGTTTGCAACTATTTTCTTACAATTTTAAGGAAAAAGTCACACTATATATAGAAATTTTATGATTATTTACACATCTTGCCAAATTGCTTTCCAAAAGAACCAAATCAGTTTATCTTCACACCAATAATCCAACTACTATGTTTTACAGCAAACCTGCCCGCAGCAATTCCACAGGAATGACTAAATTAAGGGAATTCCCTTTTCACTTTACCCCTTTCCAGCCTCTAAAAGAGATTTCTTTGGGTTTTTGTGATGTTTTTCTTCCTCACACTAAAATTGAAAATACTGTTTTTTAAAAAGAAAAACATTTCAATATTGAAAATATTGTTTTTTAAAAAGAAGAGGGAGAATGAGGTGTCCACTTTTTGTGAGGGAGCTGTTCCAGTAATTTCAGCTTGCCCGAGTCCGTTTAGTAAACTATTTCGCTCATTTAGATGAGTGGAGATTTGGAGATGAGCACGAGGGGAAGGAAGGAAGCCCCCCTCACTGTGAGCTCCGGAGCACAGGAGGTTACCTCGAAGCTGGCCTTGGGAGGCCCAAATAATTGAATGGGTTCAACCTGCCTAGAAGCTTTAATCAATCCTGTACTATTCACAGGTGTCTCTTCTTTGAGCCCTTTGGAGAAGTGAACCGTGAGTCTACAGAGCTGTTCAGATGGTTTGTGAAATGCTGACTTAATCAAATTTATCTCTAACAGCTTTTTTATCTACCCCAGGCTGTTCCTGCCACCCTCCTAGGGTGAATACCGTGGACTGTCCCCCAGTGCTGACCCTGTCACTGAGGCACATGCTTTTCTGCCAAACGTCACAGACCCGGCCTGTGACCACTGTGATGATGGGGACTGGAACCTGGTTCCTGGCAGAGGATGTGGGCCTTGTGACTGTGACCTGGGACATCTCAAATTAGACACTGTGACCAGGCAAGGTGCTAAAACTTACCAGTGCAGCCCAGGGCTGATGGGGAAGCGCGGTTTCCAAGTGTGCACAGATGGTTTTCTTTATGTGCCGTTTATTCATGTTTGTAGACATGATGGGTGGGCCGTATGCGCGTGCAGAGCTGGTATTTATTTACCAGCAATGAAAAGAGCCAAAAAATGGGCTGGGGGTTTAGCTCAGTGGCGTGCTTGGCAAATGCAAAGACATAAGTTCAGTCCCTAGTACAAAAAAAAAGAAAGAAGCAAAAAAAAGAGGAGAGAATGAGGGACTCGGCTTTGCCTGCTTGGGTTCTCTGCCAACCTTCCCTTTCACTACTGCGTACACACAATCACAGGGAAGACCCGAGAAACAGACTGCTAATCAGAAGTTATTGTGGATCAGAAAGGAAACAGACCTTCAGGATCCACACGTCCCTTTTGAGTATGGAGCTGCCATTCCCTGTGACTCACCAGCTGCTTTCCGAGTGGGGACCTAAGTCAGCAGGGTAACTTCCAGACGGGCACTGATCGCTGGCTGAAGACTGCAGGCCAGGGTCCTGGGCTCACACAGTTAACGCCACATTACTGCATGTGTGATTTTTTAGACACTTAGGAAAGGAGCACCGAATTTTTAAAAATACTATGACATCTGTTTATGGAAAAATTGTTAATGCCATGCTTAATTTTTTGTTTTGTGGTTCTTTTGTTATTGTTCTTTTTTCTGGCTTAATAAACTTTTTGAAATACTTTCCACATGAATAGAGATAGGTAAGGATAAAGCAATGACAAAATTTTAGAAAAAGTCAAATCAGGGGCTGGGGATTTAGTTCAGCAGCATAAGCGCCTGCCTTGCAAGCAGGCAGTCGTGAGTTCGATCCCTGGTACCGATAAAAATGAAAAAGACCAAAAAAAAAAAAAAAAAAAGAAAGAAAAAAATCTGCAGTACAGGGCTCAGATTTTTTTTTTTTTTTTTTTTTTTTTTTTTTTTTTTTGGTCTTTTTGACACAGGGTCTCCTTATGCAGTTCAGGCTGAACTTGGGCTCTCTTTGTAGCCCAGGCTGGTCTCAAACTTGCAAACAATTCTCCTGCCTCAGCCTCCCAAATGCTGGGATTATAGAAGTGCGCCACCACGCACAGGTTTTAGAGATCAGAATTTAATTGGAATGAAAATGCTAATTGAAGAATGGAGTCTTCCTAATTAGTAAGGCTGGCTTACTCACCCAGCTCCACTGAGGAACTTACTCATGTTATCCAACAGTCAAATCTTACAGGATAAATGTGTGAAGAAGGTTTTATGTGTGTGTGTGTGCGTGCATATGTGTATGTATATATTTATATGATATTTTTCTCCCTTCTGTTCTCTCCTTCTCTCTAACCGTCCTCCACCCCACCAACACACCATACCCCTTTTCAAAAGCATAGACTTTTTCTTTCTTTTAGGATAGATTTGTGAGCTTACGACAACAGTACAGACAAAATGTACCCCACACCCTGCTTCCCCATGAGCATCTTACGGCAATAACCAGTATGGATCTGTATCGCTCTTGAAGCCTCATCCTTTATTCATAGTGCCTTAGCTTTATCTGAGGTCTTTCTTCTTTTCCAAGACCCCATCCCCAGCTCATTACAATGAGTCATCCTGGCTCCTAGCCCTCCTCTTAGCTGCGATGGTTTCGCAGACTTACCCTGTTTCTGATGACCGTAAAAGTATTTTGGAGCGTGTCTGTCAATTCAAATTTATCTCACATTTTTCTCATTATCCTGGAGGTAAAAATTTCAAGAACAAAAAGGTAAAGCACCTCCTTCTCTTCACATGACAGGAACGGCTCAGTGATTTACACACCGTGTCGTTGTTGATGTGTCCTGCCACTCAGCAGAAGCGGCGATTGTCAGATTCTGCGTCGTGAAGTCACGCCTGTCCTCAGCTGCACACTGGACCCCACGGAAGTCACCGTGATAACGCACACTTCAGGAGTAAGGAGTCCTGTCTACGTCCTGGACAGTACAGACGCTCCAGGAGCCGTCGGAACTCTGCACCGCAGCTTTGTGTGTGGTCTCCTGCTCATTCATTCACTCAGCCACTTATTCCCGCTGCTGTGGTTCACGGGTCCTCACTTACACGACACTGTTGGTTACGGCTCAGCACCTGCTTTGATGTTCAGCTTGTCCCAGCCCTGACCATTGGAAGTCTTTAGATGGCTCTGTGTCCCTCTAACCTGCTTCAATATTGTAGGATTTTTCAAAGTACTTCCTCGGTTTCTAGCAAGGCAAAATGCTCTGAGCTCATCTCATATATTTCCCACCCTAATTCTAGAATCAGGCATTTCTGTAACCCAGCAGTGGGTCCTTTATTGGAGTATGGCGTTAGAAAGCAAGATCTGGGCACAGGATGACCACGCCTGTGTGTCCTCCACTGTCCACACCTGCAGCCACCAGCTATGCAGTAAGTGAGTAGCTGCCCACATGACTGCTTGGCTTCCCAAAGCACTTGGGACTTCTGACACTGTGACACCACTGTCTAGCGACTTCTTAGACCTTTTGGGAAGCAGCACTCATGCGCTTCAACTGTGGAAGCCAAGGGCAGCTATAAGCTGACGATCGGATGACATTGGTTTAATAAAAACCCCCAGTGACAAGGGTTCTTTGGGTTGTTTGAGCCACGGGGTTTCCCTTGGGGAAAGTTGCTCTTTACAATCAGAAAACACTTTCCTTGGAGTACAGAGAAGACATGTGGACAATTAGGTCGCCAGCTGTTTAAACAATTACTGATAAATTTCTCCATGTCAGCCAGTGGTGGTCTCTCGTGTATTCCCACAGAGAGATCCAAACATGTGGTCCAGCATTTCCATCTGTGGAAATGCGTAGGTGGAGCTGGAGAAACAAGCTTCTCAGATCTGCAGGTGCTACAAAATCGTAATCTAGGGTAATGAAGACGGAAGATGAGGCCAGATACTCTAACCAGCTACATGTAGGCTGGAAACGAGATGAAACGTTAGCAGGATAAAAGTAAAGTTGTATAACTGGGATTTTAAAAAATCCCTTCCATAAATATGGAATGGAAATAATAATTCAGACCGGCTCAGATGAAAAATATCCGAGGATTTCCAATGTGTGCAAGCTTCGAATGAGTCAGCAGCGTACCAGGGCTGTGAAAGGGGTGCCCGTGTGGACTGGAGTCAGGGCCGAGGGCCAGGGCCAGATCTAGGCCTGTCACCATTCTGCTGTCTGCTCTGATGGCCAGACAATACAGGGGCATTGTTCTCATTTCTGAGAACTGCACTTTCTACAGTTTTTAAACACTTTTAGTTGACACACAGTAATTGTACATAATTGTGTGACATTTTGATGCATACTTAAATGTGCAAAACTCAAATCAGGGTAACTCACTTCAATCACCTCGAGCGTTTATCCCTTCTTTAAGCTGAGTGCATTCAAAAAGCTCTCTTCTAGCTCTTTTAGAAATGCATAATAGCCAGGTGTGGGCCCACCTCTGCAATCCCAGCACGTAGGAGACCGAGGCAGGGACATCGCCACAAATTCAAGGTCGGCCTGAACTACATAGCACAACTCTACCTCAAAAAAAAGCAACGAAATATATGATAAATTATTATCTATAGAAATCCTACTATGCTATAGAATAGAATACTGTAATTTAATCCTCCCATCTAACTGTATTTTTTGTACCAATTAACCAACCTTTCTCTCCTCCCTCCCTCTTTCCTTCCCAGCCTCTGGAGTCACTATCATCCTCTCCACTTCTTTCCACAGATGAATGAAAGTGTTCAGAGCTTGTCTTTCTGCTAAGCACCACATTTTAAACAAAATATAGACCAGAGAAGTATGTGTCCAACGGCGGATGACCAGAGTAGTGGATAGAAGCGTGCCTTCCTGTGACCCAAGGAATGGAGGAAGAGGAGGTGGTCAGCCCTCGGACGGAAGCCAGGGCACACTGAGGTGGCCATCGCCAATGGGAAAGAGACAGCTGCCTGTCTTGTGCAGTTGTTCAAAACAGGACTCAGGATGGAGGGTGAGAGTTACAGGGAGCAGGGCAGAATAAGGAAGCACTGCCCAGTCACTGAGCACAAGCAGCAGCAGAGAAACCTCAGGAGCAAGCGCTCCCACGGTGACTTACATTTGAACAGAGGCTGTGTGAGCTCCAAAGATGGACGGAAATTTGGTAAATTAATCACTTGATGAATCCGCCAACTTCCTCACTCCAAAAAAAATTATGGAACTGATGTTTAGGCAGATTTTGGTTAAGGATAACTTATGGCCAGTACTATGGTGATTTACTTTTATAGTGTTTTTCTCCTGTTATTTTCCAACCTCCTCAGTTTTTATAAAAGCTAATCAAGAATCCATTTGGGAAGGTACAGAAAGTCCAGCCTTCCCCAAAAAACAATTAAATGTTAGTAATCGATTAAAGTACAAAAATGTCATTTTGCTGAGAGAAACATTAACCCTCTTAGTACAAACTACAGTGTACCTTCCATAATGGAAATGTTACTTGCCAAATTAACTGATGAATAGTAGACCAGGTCTCTGGTCTTGCTCTCTCTCTCTCTCTCTCTCTCTCTCTCTCTCTCCCTCTCTCTCTCTTTCTCTCTCTCCCTCCCTCCCTCCCTCTCTCTTTCTCCCATAACTGCAGAGGAAAAGAATGTGGCCGGTTTCCCAATGTGTGTTTTGCTTTCATTTACATCTGTGTATTCCCAGTTTGGGGCCAGCTGGGAGCAGGCGGTATATTGAAGAACCCTAAGCCAAACATTAATCCTGATCCGAGGTAGAATCGGGGTGGTTGCTGGCCGTGGGAATCAGCCTTCCTCCGCCTCTGCACAGCTGTATGTTCTAAATCACCGGAGGGGAAGAGATGTGTCCTAGGAAAGTGAATTATGCTGTGAGACCATAAAGTTTGTCAGTTCCTCACCCATGACCATCCTCAAGCTTACAGGGCAGCGTTCTTGCAAATTGGGCTACGTGGGAAGCACACTGAGTGCAAGGAAAGTAATTGTGTTGATCCACTCGGGCAATGCATGGGTAAGTATGAGGGTTCCAAAACACAGGAGTGCAGTCGGCCGGCCCGTCACAGGCGCACTCGGATCACCTGAGTTTCAAATTCCTTTATTTGATTGTTGGTTTGAGTAGTTTGGGCTTAGTGGAAAACTCAAAGTTTTGTGCTAGTTTTGAAAGTAACATTTTTGTGGTCCTGTAAGAACTATTATGTTTCCCCTATATTAAAATTTTTAGTTGCCTTAGCCTATTAATATTTGCAGGCTCTATTAAAATCCAGGAGAGTCATTATAATGCAACAGACTCTACCATCATGATTTGTAGTCAGTTATCTGCTGCTTGGAATCCTTTGAGGAGAATCAATCCCTCTGGACTGACGCAGAGGGTCAGAAGGAGACCAGAGGAAATCAGAGAGAGGGAGGTCTCTTCAGAGTGATTCTCAGAGCTCTGGCTCTGTGACTCCACTTACTCATAGAATTCCTGCTGGGTCCCCTGGGGAGCGAACAAGTAAGGTGACACCCTGTGGCCTTGGAGCTTGTGCTCCTGGAGCCTTCATCCCAGCTGTGGGTCTGAAGTGCAGGACTTAGAGCAGCTCTTAGGATAGAATTTTCTGCAGAGAGGGAAACGTTCCAGGTCCCCCAGGTCCAAGGCAGGAGCCACCAGCCTTAGGTAACGCTCGAGCATGTCAGTGTAGGCTCTGCAACTATAGAACAGAGTCGTGTGTGTGTGTAGCTTTATTTTATTTATTTTACCTTAGATAGCTATGGTTAGTAGGTACCATATTAGATGGTGCAAATTCAGACTCTGGGTTGCCTCTAGGAGGTAGAATTTGCCAAAGTTGGCTTCCAAGATAAGTCAATCCCAATAAAGTCAAATGTGATGGACTTATTGTCATGGTCACCTCAGCATCATCATACAAGGTAACTTGTCCCTCCTCTCCGTTCCTATACAATGGGCTCCTGGGACTAAAAATAGTGCCAGCATTCCCTCATCCCATTTAGATATATGTTCTCAATGATTTTCTCCAGTCCACACTTAACTCATTTTCTAATTTGAGTTGTTAATTTCAAAATCAAGGAGGAGGTCAGGCATGGTGGTACATGGCTATAGACCCATCATGTGGGAGGCTGAGGCAGGAGGATCACTGGGAGTTCAAGGCCAGCCTGAACTACACGGTGAGACCCTATCTAAAGAAAAAAATTAGAATTTTAATTTTTGGAGTGTAGCTCAGTGGTACAGCACCTACCACTGTGGTACAATATGCAGAAGACCCTGGCTTAAGTCTCCAGCACCAAAAATTAAAACAGAGGAATGTGAGCCCTTGGAAGATCTGTACCACACAGCCTCTTTTCCAACAGCCTTCTAGTATTTTAATCTTATTTCCTAAAAAAAAATGCTTTTATCTTTCATAGCAAAGCAACAGAGGAAACTGCAAATTGTCAGCTCAGGCCACAGGTCCCACTAAAGCTGCTGGGAGGAGCCGCTAAGGAGGAAGAGCCTTGGCCTCAGCTGGTGAAGTGACACAATGCTGTCTCCACTGGCCAGTGGCCCCCAGGGCCCCAGCCAAATCTGAGTGTGCCAGACATGCTGTCCAACCGAGGAGCCTAGTGACATAAAATATCAGTTTATATTTATAATTGCCATTATTTCTGCTCAAGCTATCGTGTTAAATCACTTGTTTCTTGCAGTGAATCCAAAGATACAGCTAGTGATTCCCTAACTTTTTGGAAATTGCAATCATGGAAATAGCCTCCCCCAGCACCCTCCTCTGGCTGGGTCAGAAACCTGCTCAAATACAGTGATAGGCGGCATCAGCTATTTTGTTAGCATATGTTCGCGGTATGTATCACGAGGTCCTGACACGCATGCACACGTATGCACAGTGCATCTGGCTCCTCTTTTCACCCCTCCACCTCCCCAGCTCCCCTTCCCATCTCCATGAAGTCTGTCGCCGTCTCCTCTGCCCTTCCTTTTATTTTACTCTGTAAATTGGATATACTTTGGATTTCTCATATCAAAGAAACTTCTTTGTCTGATTTCTGTCATTACCCATGAGCATTAGAATCTCAAGGTGATTCCATTTTCCTACACAGCTATTTTTTACCAAAGATGGAAGCATCTCCCCCGCCTTTCTTGGAGGAAGAAACATACGTATTGGTGATAGCATGGGTCAGCACACCCAGGCTGGGTCTTGCCAAGAATCACTGTGACCCTGGGACTTCTGTGTCTCAGAAGTCCCTGGCCCATCTGAGGCAGCTGTGGGGACAGCAGGGTCACTGTTGTACTGCCCGCTGTTCCCTCCACGTGTCCCACCCAGACAGAGGCAGAGGCCACCTCCACCCCACACAGCACATGGAGGAGGGGCGAGCACGCTCCATGCAGAAGTAGATGCAGAGTGGCGAGCTGGATGGGGACGGCCACTGCACAGATCTCCGCCATCCCGATGTTTTTAAGTGGACACCTTACAAACATGAAGATTCTCAGGAGAGAGGAGAGGGCTTTATTCTTGAGTATCCATCAGCAAAACACCAGGTGACAATTTGTGCTTGTTCGCTCTTCCTTTCTAGCATGTGACTACAAGGGGACCCCAGAAGCCCTTCTGGAAGCGGTGCAAGGGTTAATGAGCCTGGCTGCTGACATGGACGTCAGCTGAGTGGTGGGCCTCGAAGCAAGCAATCTGGCATAATGAGGATTTTGGAGCTCTTGTTTTCTCATCTGGAGAGCTCTTCAAAAGTGACACTGTGAGGTGAGAACTCGTGCTCCAGTTGTAGGCAAGTCCTGACTTACCTTGACTCCGCTGACTTTCTCATGCTCAGCCTTCAGGTTAGAAATTGACGTTAGGGAACCAATAAGTTCGGCTAATAACCAGGCTGGTGAGCATGTTTGTCTGCCTCTTTTTCGCTTGGCTAAGATTGCATGCAATTTTTTTCCAAGTGTCATTAATTATAACAAAAAGAATCACGAAGAGGTTACTTGGGCAGACGGAGTAGAGCTTAGTGGTGAACGCTTGCCTAATACAGACAAGCACTGAAAAATTTACAAATGAGGGTGAGTGGGAATGTCCGAGCCAGTGAACTCAGAGACATGAAATTGGAAGTATTTTCTAAAATAGGTAGTAGGGCCAGGGATACAGCTCAGCAGCACAGGGCCTGCCTGGCAAGCAGGAGGGCCTGAGTTCGATTCCTAGTACAAAGAAAAAAACAGATAATATATGTTTCAACAATGCATTCAAGGAAAACTGACCAATCTTCCCAAATTCTTTAGTTGTTTAGAAGCCCATACAGTAGTATACAATCTTATAAGAAGTATAGCACTTTCTTCAAAATGCAAGATCATTTTTATTACATATTCCTGAATTCTTTTTTTTTTTCATTCATTAACCCTTTCAAGATTTAGTTAGTTGCCCCTAAATCTTTCAAGATTTAGTTAGTTGCTAGAGGTCAGCAAATGTAGGCCACAGGTCAAATCTAGCATAGGACTTGTTTTTGCGGATAAAGTTTCTTTGAAACACACTCACACCCGTATGTTTACATCCCTGATGGCTGCTGTACCCTGTGATGGCAGAGAAATGGCAGGCAGAGGACAAAGTCTTAGAGCAAAATACCCCCACGCTGCAACAAAAGCTCCTGAATTAAGGAACAGCTGAATCTGTAGGGTTTGTGCCATACAAACCACAGGGGCAAATATAAGGCCATTCATGTCAAATATCCTGGCAGCATACAATAGGCGCTTAATAGTTACTTGGAAGAAGATACATTCTGCCTGTGTGGTTTAGGGCTACTGTCTCTTATGCATAGTAACATGCCCAAGTTAAACCGGCCCCTGAGAGCAGGTTCATCTTGATTCCGCTAAAGATGCTTGTTCTGCAGCACTGGGGCCCTGTGTTACCAGATCTCCCCAGTTTTCAAGAGATGTCAGACATTTAGTTTTGGTAGAAATGTCTGCATGTGAAAATACAGGCACATAGTCTCAGCATTCAGGAGACTGAAGCAGGAGGACTGCTGTGCGTTCAAGGTCAGCCTGGGCTACAAAATGAGTTTACATCCAGCCTGAACCTCATAGTGAAAACCTACCTCAAAAAAAAGAAAAGAAAAATCAAATATAGGCATCTAATCCAATAGCACTTATAAAACACACTGCAAGGCCCAAAGAAAACAAGTTAGAAGCTGAGCATTAGGCCACGGGCCACCAATTTGCAGTAATAGATACTCACAAAATGTCAAGAAAGTAGACTGAGCCAAAGAGGACAGCAAGGCGGAGGAGTCCTGGGGCCAGCCCTGAGGTGGCTGCTGGGCCTCTTCAACCAGAAGCCAGATGGCTGCTGCTTCCTGGTCCACCCCTGAACCCCTGTTGCTCCCCAGTGGCCAGCAGACACCAGCTCCTCTCTGAGGACCTCCCTGACCCATCAGAGAAAAGCTTCGTCTCCTTTCCACCCTGCCTCCTCTCCGCTGCCTCTGTGGGGACCCCCTAGGCGGGGCTGCCTCCCCCAGGGAGCAGCAGGACAGGGAACCTCCAGGCGTGAACTGAGAACCCCCATAGTTCAAATCCACCCACTAGCTATGCATACATGACTTTGAGTCTCTAAGTTTCAGTTTCATCAGAAAGAGAGATAAAGTCTTTTTTGGGGGAGAATTAGTCAAGATAATCCACTTCGCCTAGAGGCTGGCGATCGTGGTTAAGGGACACTAATGATCACAATTGCCACTATTATTACTTCAGGGTTATTATTGTTACCTGGAGAAATGATCTCTGAAAGAAAAGTTTTTGAAAGAGAGAGTTAAAGAAGATAGCTAGGCAGTATTAGTTCACGCTCTGTAATTGTGCCAAGATGAATTTGTCCCATGGATTTGCGTTTCTCCACTGTACTGTTGAAGATTTGGTCCTGACTTCCCCCTATTACCCACGTGGGACCGATGGCACATGTGTGCAGAACACAGCAAACGGAAGGGGACAGAGGTGTGAGCCATCAAAGAGTCAGGGATGGACAAGAGCACACCCAGGGTATACTCTCCAGCGGGGAAATCTCCTTGTCAATCCAGGAAATTAAAAGACTGTCAACAGAAGCTGTACCAAAGCAAAGTTTGCTGAGTGGATTTATTCCCCAGGCTGGGTTGGGCGCTCTCCTTTATCATGTGCTGACAGCCAGATGTCACCTGCTCTCTTAGACTGACTTAAATGAACCCTATCTGATACATGTTTTGAAATGCAAAGCAAAGAAAGAGAAAGCATGAACACTGGAAACAGAGAGATTTGAAAACCTGTGCTCTGCTAGAACTTGTAGGGTGGTTATAGTTTAAAAGAGCATTAAAATATTCCAGGAAGCCGAATAAAAAGGCAAGACGTGAGCTATAAACAGAGTCATAAAGTAAGATGAAAACTTGTGGGTGGGCTCCCTTCCAGCTCCTCCACTGCCCTAATAATAAAGACCCTAACAATGACAGCAAATTTTTGTGGCATGCTCTTCTCACCAATGTATTGAATCCAATAAAAGCTTAACCACATCTACCCTCATTTTCTCCGACAGAAAACAGATCATGCAGCAAAGTGAGCAACTGAAAACACTGAATGTATTTCAAGAGCTACAAGAAAGCATAGTACAGGGTCTGGGGATTTAGCTCAGTGGCATAAGTGCCTGCCTTGCAAGCGCACAGTTGTGAGTTTGATCCCTGGTACCGATAAAAAAAAGAAAAAAGAAAGCACAGTACAATTGAGGAATGAACAGATCTCTTTTTGGGAAAACAGCTGGAGGAGATGAATTTCCAACCCAACGTCCTGAATGCAAAGCATCATGGGTAAGAGAGAGAACGTGTTGCTCCTGCATGGGGTTCAGTGACCTCCATGGTGTGCTGGTTGATGAGTCACACATGCCCACTGCTGTGGCGCCTGAGTGCCTGGGGACATGCAAACACATCCACCAGAGGTATTATGTGGACATGGACATTTCAACTTTGTAAACACTGCGGAGCCCAGATAGCATCTGTTCAGAATAATAAACAGAGGTAAATGTCTGCACTAAACAAACACTAAAACCCACAGTAATCTAATACCAAACGTCGTAAGCAGTTCTGAGTCATCAGCAGGTTAGAAGTTCTAAGGTGGCCGCAAGCAATGACAGAGATGCATTTCCACACTTTCCTGAGTATCAGCTGCCCCGTTCCTGGCAACCATAAATACAAAGGGACACAGGACAAGAAGAACTGCACACTTTTCTCCTAGGAACTCTGTGGAGATTGCAGTTGTGTAACATACGAGGAGCCACTAATTTGTATTGCTTAGTTCTTAAAACTGAATATGAACAGGCCTGTAATTCCAGCCCTCTGGGAAGCTGAAGCAGGAAGACCACAAGTTTAAGCCCAGCCTGCTCAACTCCGTGGCTTAACGAGACTTTGTCTTAAAATTTAAAAGGGGAAAGGGGGGCCTGAGGGTGTAGTTCAGTGCAAAGGCCCTAGGTTCATTTCCTAGTAAAAACTGAACTAAACTAAGCTAATGCTAATGCCAAAGTCAACTTGGAGGAGAAAAGGAAGTTTAAAACACAGCCTAGATTTGCTCATGTTCTGTTTAAAAGGCTTCTGTTTGGAAATGGACAACCCGTTACAGCTAAGAGTCCGTAGTGAGTTCATTCACGCCCGCCCTGTCTGAACGAGAGGTGAAGGCAAAGCACACCCGAATCATGGCAAGACACGACGTGGACTGCGTTGCCTTGTTGTATGTGTATGCGCCTGTTTTCAGCTGATCGTGACCCAACAAGAAAGAGAGAGAGAGAGAGAGAGAGAGAGAGAGAGAGAATAGCAGTGGCAAAGCCTAATCACCCTAAAAGAATGCTTAAATATAGGGAGACTAATTTTAGCAACGATCTAATAAAGGTGCTCCTAAATGCCATGGGAAGAGTAAAGAACTCAGTCTGATTCCCAGGCTGAAGTAAGGCGGCCCCTGGCGGGGTTCAGGGACCTGAGAGGTCGCCCCAAGGAGGGTGGCATAAACCGGGAGTCTAGCGGCAGTCACCGTGCTTTCTTCATGCTGCTGCCGCTGCGCCCACCAGTGAGCAGGACGAGGAGTTCCTCCTGCCCTGGAGTTCTTCCTGTCCCTTAGGGGACACGGGACAGAAACGACCCCAGCTGCTCTGGAAGCAGAGTAGCAAGAAACAAATGGTTTGGGGTTCGTGAAGAAAAGCCCAGGGAGTAGGTGGCAAGTGAATGGAGACTTACAGCGTAGAGAGAGATTTGCCAGATGAATAAAACCAGAAGATCATTCCCAGCAGTAGGGACCTGTTTTTATTTTTTAAAATAAATGAAAAAGCTTCTGTAAAGAGCGTCTGAGCATAATAAAACCAGGAAAGTTAGAAGATGAGCTGCGGTTCTCTGAGGCCTGGATCACCAATGTACAGGGAAATGCCAGGACCCGGGTCCCTGTGCCCTAAAACACGGCTTCTCCCTTAACTCGTGTGTTCCTGGTGGACCCTGAAGTTACCACCTTGCTTCCGCAGATGGTCAATTTATTCTGCACATGGAAAAGGGCAGTGTGGAGAGCACAGGCTGCAGGGCCAAAGCCCCTGGTTCGAATCCTGGCTTTATCTGTCCATGAGATCTTGGGCAGATACCTTGCCTCACCAGAGCCCCCTTGATGTCCTTGTGTGGAAAATGAGAGTGTCACCAGCGTGCACTCAGGGCTGCTGGTGAGGACAGGAAGAAAGTGCAGAAAGTTTAGACGGCAAGCATTGGCTGGGATCAGCCGCAACCCTGGCGTCCCAGGACATCCCGTCCCAGCTTGCTTTTCTCAGAAGGCAACTTTTCGTAGGGACTCCATCGCTGTGTTGTGACAGAGACAGAAAGGCCATTACAGCAAAGCCTATGACATCAGTTCTCCGGCCTTTGCAGAAATCTCTTGTCAAGGGCCAAGGATTTAGCTGAGCGACACAAGCACCTGCCTAGCAGGCACAAGGTCACAAGTTTGATCCCTGGTACCAAAAAAAGAAAAAATCCCTTGTCAAGTCCCACTTAGGTAGCTAATTAAACGTACTGAATTTCTCATGCTACTGCTTATAATTAATTCCTTACATTTGTGGCATATTTTACAGAATATTTCATATTATCTCATTTAATCCTTGTGAATCATGATCGCTGATTTACAGATACCGAAGCAAAATCTAAGTGATTAACAGATTGGCTCAAAGACATCCCCAGGAAGTAAAGGGTAGAGCCAGGACGAAGCCTGCCCCATGAACCCGCGTATCAGTGCTGGGTCCCTTCCATGTGCTATCCAGTCCATCATCTGTCCTCCCCCACTAAGTGCAAATGTAAGGAGGAGGAGGTTGAAATTCTGTAATGAAAGACCCAGACAGTAGCCAGATAGACAGCTTACATATTAGTCATTTGTTTTCACAAATTTTATCTTACCTTGATTTGTGTTAGCATAGATTGCTCAGAAAATACCAGAAAGGATTATCACAGATCATCATCTGCTGAAAAGAATGTAAACAAAACTAGTTCCATCATAAATGACTCCAAAAATGCCAGAATCGGCTTCCTTACCATGTTAGATACACAGACCACAAAAGAAAACTTATTGGAGAAATTGAAACTGATTCAGGCCAGGCAGGACGGGGCACACCTGTCATCCCAGCACTCCGGAAACTGACAGGAGGATCACTGTGAGTTCGAAGCCAGCCTGGATTACATAGTGAGACCCTGTCTCCAAAAACAAAACAAACAAACAAAACAAGCTGATTAAAATAACAGATACTCAAATTTTGAAAGAAATGGTAAATATTTATAATAGTATGATAGAAGTGTTTAACATCCAGACCTCTTTAATTATGTTTTCCTGTCATATCTTTTTATTTTTAAATTTGTACTTATAAAGATATGAGTGCTACATGTGTATACACTAATTATATTAGTATTTCCTCTGTTATATATGAACAACATAAAAATACAGTCTGAGCAGCTGAGGCAGAAAGAACAGGAGTTTGAGCCCAGTTCTGGTGACTAATGAGGTTCTATCTCAAAAAAAAAAATTTTTTTTTTAAAGTATGTATTTCAGTGCAAAGGCCGTGAGTTCAATCCCAGTACCAGGGAGAGAGAAAGGGAGAGAGAGAGGGGGAGAGAGAGAGAGAGAGAGAGAGAGAGAGAGAGAGAATATATATGCACAAATATATTGAATTATATTTTATTTTGATTCCAACTTCAAGGATTGATCAAAAGACAAAAGATTATTGTTTGATTTTATTAAGTTATTTACTATTTCCAAAATGATACATATTATGGTCATTGACTCCTTCTCCTTCATTAATACAAGTTAAAACCTATTTTAAAAGGATAAAAATTAAGTTAACATGAAAACTTTAAATTCTATTTTCAAAAAAACCCTATAAATATAAAAATGACAGATTGTCACAATACTGATAAAAACTTAGGTGTGTATTTATTTAGCTACCTAGGAAGCATTTAATAGACTCCAAGTGTTAAACGTGAACACTACTGAAGACACCACTGGATCAGAGCACTGCCAGCCTAGCAAGCCTGGGTGGCCTTAGATAAATCTGCGCTATCAAATTGCTTCCCAGTGGCCCGACCCCTTTCTCTGGGAAGGTGCTGGGGGACCAGGGAGCCTGCCGTGCAGCCCCTCGCCCTGTGGGGGCGCTCTCTGCACGGACCCCGGTGGCACAGGCAGGGTGTGATTCAGAAGTTGGACAATCAGGCCCAAAAGCTGAAGAATCGCGTAAATAACTGACGTCCTTTGCCTAATTTGCAAAGTTGTGGCCATAAAGAAGCAAACTGATAGCAGTGTCCTTTAACTTCCAGGTGAGAAGCTGTATCCTACACACTAGGTGTCCTACTGACTGAAACATCGGCGTTCTAGCAAATATAGATATAAATGCAGATTTTGAAATAGAGGTAAATAAATAGTTGTGTGTATACGTGAGCATCTTCAGTGTGTGGGTGTGTTCAGAGAGAGAGAACTCAGTGTATTAGCACAAGCCATGGATGAAAGGGGCCTTTTTAAATATAACAAGCAATACATAGAAATTTCAAAACAGCCTTGAAGTTTCACAAACTGTCAATTTCTAAATCCAAAGGATAATTTTTCATGAATTCAAGAGTATATTTGCAATCCTACTAAATATGCATATTTATTGTCACAGAAAATACTGTAATAGGAATGTACTTTTAGGCGGCTTTAAACTCTTTCCTGTGTTGATAGACATGATAAAGTTGTTTCAACATGTAAGCAAATCATTCAATCTGTGACAACTTGAAAGTATTTCATTTACTTTTCTGGCCACATATACAAATATCATTTTAACTACCGAGCTTTCTTTAGATTTTCTTGTTGTTTTGGGCTCTGGGAGAGGCTTTGTTTTCATGGTACGAGGGCCTCTATCATTGAGCTAGACCTCCTGCCCTGCAGGTGTTTTCAAGATGTACTTCATTCTCTACTTTTGAAAACAAGATAGTGACAAACTCCTTTTTCTACAATACGCACAGAGCCTCGGATGAAACAGAAAAAGGCTTTAAAGGCTGAGTGTTTTTCTTGCCTGCATATACCGACTATGATGTCAATCTGCATTCTTGGTTGCAAGCAGCAGTTGGCTAACTTACTGACAAAAAGCAATGTATGCAAGGACCTTTGGGTCTCAGTACCCAGAGAAGGCTGGATGGCATGGGGGTGGCACGTGGCTGCCATCTCAGCACCCTAGGAGGCCGAGGCAGAATGGTTGTAAATTTGAGCCGAGTTTGGCCAACTTAGCAAGACCATGTTGCAGACTTTAAAAAGGTAAGGAAAATAAAAAATTTAGGGGCTTAGGGATGTAGTTCAGTACAAAGACCCTGAAAGTACTGCACTTTACTGTAGTACTGCAAAGACAGACAGACACAGACAGACAGACTCGAATGGGGCGAGAACTACAGCCAAGAAGAACACACACACACATATCCCACATCCTGGTCCACTTGTTAGAGTCCAAATTCAGGAGTGATTTATCACATGACCGAGCTGAAACACAGCCCTCCACATGCTCAGGGCTGGAGGTTTGTATTGACACGGTCACGGTTCTGCATGGCTACATGTGTCTCGTTTAAATGTGATCCTTTGCGGCTCTCACAAGCACGCACTGAGACCCACCTGTGCCAGGCACTGATCTACGAGCTGATAATACAGCAGCAATCACAAAAATGCAAATCCCAATCTTCTCTCCCAGTGCTTGCATTGTCCCTACTTGTTTAATGTAATTTTTAACTATTCTTCTAAAAAAAAAGAAAAAAAACCCAAACATCTCACACCCTTGGAAGAAGCCCTTATTATTACTTGATTTTACGATTTGATTAATAATAGCATTAACCCATCAGTATTAAAAGCTAAGTCCATTGGGGCTGGGGATTTAGCTCAGCGGCATAAGCACCTGCCTTGCAAGCAGGCAGTCCTAAGTTCGATCCCTGGTACCGATAAAAAGTTAAAAAAGCTAGGTCCTTGGTCTGCATGAGCAGAATGTGGTGTACTCAGTACTTAAATGAAAAGCTGGAACAGGGCGAGATACGGTCTGCTATGCTGATAAAATGCTGTGGATTTCCCCTTGCGTGGAAGGGGAACGCAGCCAGGAGAGACTGCAAGAGAATTCTCAGGCATCCCTGTGATAGGAGCTGGAAGGAGGAAGATGTTTCAAGAGTGAAGTAATTTAAGGATCCCTTTCTGAGCATGGTATCAAGTAATCCACTCCAGGATTTCATCTTCTTCACTTGGGGCTTTCCCTTCTGGGGATTTGGTTCTGGAATTCTGGTTTTACTGCTATACATTTTGCAGCAATCCATTTTAAGGTTAAAGGTCTAGATCAGCTCTCAAAACCCGACTACATTTAATCATATGGATACTTTTTGGTTTTATCATTTGCTAATGACTATAGCTTAAATCCTTTACAAAATCGGAGTGGCTTGCATTAAGCAGGCTCCTTCTGTGGGGGAATAAGGAGAGATTGCCCCCCCATTAGGTTTGATCCTAATTAGCACCACTTCTGTCACAATTAATGTATTCAATAAGGCTCGGCCTGTTGGCAGTCTTGTCCTGTTGCTTTCCGCTCGCCCCTCTTTCTAATTTGTTGGACTGCTAAGAGAAAGCCCATGACCTTTCGCAAATCACACAATTAACAGCTCACACGCTTAGCTCCTAGTCTATTAACTTCCTCCATTCCGGGATTTACCTCCTCGGCGGCCCACCCTCGGGCTCATTAAAGGAGGAATGCTTGCTTGTCAGCTTTCCAAGAAAGCACATTGCTTGAATGTGAAGAATGTTTAGGAGAATAGCTACTTTAACTTATATGAAAGAAGCTGCTCTTAAGCTATTAACCGCCATCCGTTTAGTAGTCCTAAGTAATTTCGGTGTACATGGTTGGTTTCAGGGAATGCCAAAGTCTCACTGGAACACAATTTATATTTTAGATTTACATTAGGAAAATTCATTCATGCTAGGGCAATCTTGTTTTCAAATAATAGTTTGATTGCTAATAATTGTATAAAAGATAAATTTGTAATATTAACAAAACATTATCAGGAGACAGACAATAATTACCTTTAAAAGAGCCCTTTAAAAATGAATCTGTGATTTAATAATCTAGATTTCTATTAAGTTTTAGTGGCATTTTTATTTGGTCCAACTGTGTAATAAAACATCCCCCAAGACACGCTTAATTTTTGTATGTTTTCTTCACTGTTGCTCTGTTCTTTTTCCACATTTAAAAAAATCTAAGTGGCAGAAGTCTCCAAAAACAGCGCTCTGCAGCTAAGTGGAAACTGGAAAATGTGAAAACCGAAGTGAATGAGGAAGAAGGAAATGAATCTTTTCATCAAGAAAACAAAACCTTTTTGTTAGGTAAGTGTTTCAAAATATAAAGATAATTCTTATATCTTCCTTTTTTAAAAAAATGAACATGTAAACATCATAACCAATTCCAAATTACATTAATTGGAACTGAAATGCCTGTCAGAAAATTATATACCCCTTGGTTTTAAATTTCTTAATGAAAATAATCTGTAAATATTAACTGTGGCCAAAAAGGAATGGCTCTCTGCATAAGATTAATTTAGTAATAAACCCTAGAATTTAACTAAAATTTCAAAGGAACTTGTTTTTTTAGTTTTTTTATTGACTTAAAAATTAGAAATTCCATACGATGATTCGTCAGATTCCCTAATGTCAGGATTCAGGAGTTTTCTTTACTGGCAGAGATGATAGGCTCAAGATTTGCCAAATTCTGATTAGGATGTCAAATAACATACTAAAGTGGCATCTAAAAAGTGGATTATTGACTATTATTGTACTTTTTTTGTGTCTTTATGAGACAGGTTCTCTCTATGCAGTTCAGGCTGGCCATGTACATACTTTGTAGCCCGGGATGGTCTCAAACTCACAATGATTCTCTTGCCCCAGCCTCCTGGGTGCAGGGATTACAAGCGTGTGCCCCCATGCCCGGCTTACTAACTATCATTGGCTATTCTATAATTGATCAAGAGAAACTTCTTGAGTTTCTATTCATTATGCCATATTTGGGGAGAAGTCTGTTTTGAACTCCAGAGAACTTTTTTGCAGGGGGCGGGGGTACCAGGAATTAAACTCAGGACCTCATGCTTGCCAGGTACTGTGCCACTGAGCTATGTCCCCGGCCCCAGAGAACTATTAAAGATAAATCAAATACAATATTAAGAAACTGATCTGAAACCTCACCCATCAAATAAGGTAGTTTGGTTTCAACTCTGCAGAATTAATCCTAGGCTTTTCCTTAACCACTTCCAAATTTGATACTTTTATACTTTCCACGTGATTGAGAGTTGGGGTGTCCATTATCATCCCACTAACATACTTAGCATTTATAAGAGATCTCGGAGGCCAGTTTTTCTATCTCAGTTTTTCTAGTCCACCTTCCACTTCCGATCTCAGGCAGCCACTTTTACTTTCCTGAAAAGCAGGCCCTAGATGTACATATACTGTGTTCTATATTGTCAGATGCCCTTCTCAGTAGAGGCCTTTCAGAGACAGCAACAGAAAAAGTCACCCAAAACTTGTATTTTGTGGTCATGCAGGATCAGAACTTGGGTCACTTCCAACAGCCTCCCGCCACCACCATCACCTCCCTGTCCTTCAATTGTAACACATCTATCATAGTCATAGCTTTTGATATGCACTTACAATAAAGTTTGATCTGCGGTACTGAAAAAAAGGAATTTGAGGGGTGACTGTTGGGCGGTTTTGCAGTGTTCTAAGTCTTTTGTTATCCTTTTTGCCAACGAGCATGTGTTCAGCAAGTAGTCAGCACCACACAAGCATCACTTCTCCCCAAAACAAGGGAACCTGGGGGGCAAAGAATCTTCTATGGGACATGTACAATCTAGTCCCTAACTTTAGGGACACATTATCAAATGCAAGTGCATGTGATTGAGCTCATCAGGGTCACATGTACAAGACAGAGCATCTGCTCCGGGAGTGTGATTTCCTAAAACCCACCTTCTTATCTAAGAGGAAAACATACCCTCCGGGGGACAGAGAGAAGGTGGTGAATCATGATCTTGCCATCCACCTACAGATAACATCACAAAATCTAATCCATGAACCTGAAGAAATGCAGAAACATATGCAACTGTGTGAGAGCTACAGAGCAGAGAGGAACAGGTTAAATAACGCAACAGTTGGAGCCAAAAACTTTTGGTAAAGGCGAAAGTAGCTGAGTAAATACGGTATTCATGTATTACTCCTGCTCAAACAGCCCATCTACTGAAAAACTGGCTGAGAACTATTAGCCACAGTGCACAAGTGAAATCAGCCTCCGATAGCTCAGTCCAGACTGAAGGCTCAGCTCTTTGCAGAGGTGCCCCCAGGAGCTGGGCAGGGGGGTGGCAACTAGACAGGGATGCTTGACTCCATTTTTCTCAGATTCTAAACATGTTTCCAGGGGCCTGGGGCCTCTTAATACCAAGGCACACAAGTCCACGCCACACACAAACTCTGTGTGACTACTTTAATGCTGACTGAAATGTAGTATAATTTTCCTGTCTTTACCTAGGTTTGGTACTTGTAGAGTACTATAATAAACAGTACCTTGAATATCTAAATTTAGAAATAAGACTACAGAAAAACTATGATGATAGAGAGTAGAAGAGATGGACCCTGGGCCCCCAGCTTACTACTACAGGAGTAAAATGATATGTACCCTAAGAAAGCCAACTCCTCCTCCTGCCCTGGAGACTTAGCCAAGCAAAAAGCCAAAGGCACCTTGGGGTGCTGTGGGGTGCTGTGGGGCCAGGTCGAGGAGTCAGCTGGGTGGCAGCACCACCAACTGAGACCTGAGCACCTCACTCCCTTCCACTCATATGTAAGTGACATGTACAGAAGTACCCCAAATCTTAATATTAAAAGTCAGGGAGATAAAGTACCTGTAACATAATTGTAACAGCTATTTAAAATGATACTGATGAAATTTTTAAGAACATGCAGATTCTGATAAAACAATAGCAGTGTTTTTATTTAAAAGCAGATGACATTATACATGCAGGAGGAACTTGATCATGCAAAGAAAAAAGAATTTAGAACAAAATGCTCAAGTATACTATCATCTTCAAAGGTAAGTAGGGTTACTGGTGCATTTTTTTTCCCATCTTTACATTTCTTTGGTACAATCTAAATTTGCTATAAGGAGCAGTACATTGAAAACCTAAAGAAAAAAATAAATACATATTTTTTTAAATGTATAGTGGTGGAAATAGAAGAAACACAGACTGGCCCCCTGGGAATGTTACCGAAGTGAAAGGGTGGGCTGGGTCCGTGCCCAGCAGGGCAGAGTCCTGAGGGTGAGGGGCGAAAGCTCACCCCCGGGAGTGGAGGCGGCGGCGAGGCAGGGGCTGGCTTGTGACTCAGCCCACTGTGCTCTGGGCCCAAGTGTTTGCTCCACACAGGTCTGTCTAATGCAGCTTGCTTCATTCTGCTCAAGGCGGTTTTGAGGTCAGAAATCTAAGTATCTGTGCCTGTGGCCTGGAGGTGGACGCCCCGTTTCTGTAAAACAGTCTGTATGTCCTGAAGTGCCCGAGATTGTAACATCTGACTGGGCCTCTGAGCTGCTAGAATGTCAGCAAAGCTTAAAAGCCCTGCATAAACACAGCCTTCATGCAGGGCCTGGGTCCTCTCTTGACTCTCCACCCCCACCCCATGAAAAGGGGGAATGCTGCACTCATGTGAGAAACCCCAGGGTGCAATCTGGCGGCCCACAGTTTTAACCTACAGAGAAATCTGTGTCAGGCACAATCGGTGTCTTTAGGATATGCGCTCATAGGTGTGTGTGTTATTGGCATTTCAATCTGCCTATTTCTTAGAAGGAAGATGGAATTTAAATTGACTTTATAAATAATTCAGTAGAGTTTCTGGTTTAGTGGACTCTCAAAGTGAAGCAAATGAATAACTGCGCATTTATCTAATCTGCTATGTTAATGTCTTACCTTAGGAAAGCAGCAGATGTTAAACCTTGACAAAACCACAGACAAGTTGCAGCAAGCACCAGTCACTCAAGGACGGCAGACTCTGTCATCACCTAGCTGACGGCGAAGATAACACAAATGAGAAAGAATGCGCGCAGGTATTTACCCATCTTTGTTGAAACTAACCTGAGCTGGATCCTGGAGATGGGGGAACGTACGATAGCTGTGTGCAGGTATGTCTGTCTGACGGCTGCCTATGAGGGTTAGTTAAGATTTTGATGAGATTCTGGGCTTACTGAATATCCTGTATTAACGTTAACACAGCACTGTTGTTACAGTGATGCTGACAAAAGTATGTGTTTAAAGAACGATCTACGGAGCCCTGCTGAACATCATTTAATTCTGGGGACAAGAAGGGTGCTACCACCTGTTTGTAAATGAACGCACTAAGACTTAGGGAGGTTATGTGACTGTCTCAGGCCACACAGCTAATAATAGATGTGAGGCCAGAGCTCATTCCTGTGGGTAGCTATGGAAAGTAACAGATTTTCTAAAGCTCACAAGCCAAAGAAAATAAAGTTAATTGATGTGATTTTTCCCCCCATACAAGGGCTTGAACTCAGGGCATTTGCACTGAGCTACATTTCCTGCGCTCTTTTTAGTCTTTATTTTGAGACAGTCTCACTAAATTACTGAGTTGCCCAGGCTGAGCTCAGTTTTGCAGTACTCCTGCCTCAGCCACCCAGAGTGTTAAGATTGTAGGCCACCATGCCCAGGTTTGCGAGGGTTTTGTTTTTTTTTAAATAACTAAAAGTATATGAGTTTATGTCAGGGTATTCCAAAACTGAAGCAATATCTCACTTACAACAACTCATCCAGTCCAGTGAAGCCAGGCCACAGTTTAACCAGGCAAGAGTGCAGGGAGAGGAGGCCCAGCGATGGGAGGACAGAACAGATCCCACAGTCCTCTGTCACATCCCCTTCCTTACAGGCCTGAGAGTGACTCACTCTCCATTCTTCAGCTGTGTTTTATAGATCTCCACCGCGCATCCTGAGAACATAAGCGGAACACAGCAGAACAGGATATTGTGTACCGGGAAACAAAAGGGTTAGATAGGAAGAGGTTGCATCATTGGGTAACGAAGGGCAAAAGCCCTTGAATGGGGTTGGCAAATACAGCCACGGCCCTGTCATGATGGCTGCTTTTGCAACATAGTGGCAAGGAGCTGAAGAATTGTGCGCGGACTATACGGACCCCAGAGAGTACACTACCTGTCCCTTTACAGAAAATGTGTGTAGACTGACATCAGTCAACTCATTAGTCCAGCTGCTGGACACAATATGCAATACCCACAACTTTAAGCAAGGGAGGTCATTGGTTCACACTTCAAGAGAGTCAGTCCATGGTCACCTGATTCCAAGGTAGGAACAGCATGGCATGGTGGAGCAAAACCGGTCAGCTCATGGCCACTGGGAAGCAGAGCAGGGGAACAGCGCTGGAAACGAGCGGCTTAGGGACCACATGCTGGATAGTACCCAAGGACACACGGCCCACACGGCCTGTCCAGTGTGCTGTGCCAACCCGCCAGGCATTGCTTAGTGCAACGATGCTGGGTTAACGGTCTTAAAATTCCTGCCCCAGAAAAACTCCCCCTCCTGGTAGGAAATGTTAAGATAGTATACTTACATTTTTTAAAATGAATAAATGACATTGTAGAAAACTGAGGATATCCTCAGGGCCAAAAAAAAAAATAAAGTCAGAAAGTGAGACTTCAGAGAGCTAATCAGGCACTACGTAAGAGCAGAGGGCATCTCCCAATCCCTAGTGTGCTACAGCCTTTGGGTTTGAGGGTTACTGTGTTTAACAGACAGAAAACAGAGTCTGTAGAAGGAGGGGACTAAAAACCAGAGCCCATAGTGAAACAGCAATCTATCACACACACACACACACACACACACACACACACACACACGCACCCCTGCTTAGGGTAGGAATCTCTAAGAACTCCCAACCACAAGTTGGCTGCCATGTGAGATTGGGGATAGAGTTTATACTATCTGGGTGGCCCCCAAAATCTAAGCTAAAAGTCATTTAAAGTAGTCCTGCCAGTGCCCCTAGACAGTGGCAAATAAAGTCTCCCGTGAAAACATGACCTGAATAACAAGCCGCCCCCAATTCCCTCCAAACATATAAAGAAACAAATTACCTTCAACCAAAGTCATCCAAACAGCAGAATCAGAATGCAAGGGACTGTGCCTAAAGTACAAAATAAGAATGTTTACTATGTGTAGGAAAATCAAAGGAACGTAACACAAAGTATAACCCGTGAATGAGAGACAACAGGCAGACTGGAAAGATGATTAAATAGAACCCCTGCATGTGACAAATACAGTCACTGGAATAGGAAAGTATGAAACATAAGCAGGAAAAAGAAATACCAGCTGGAGAATTTAAAATTATATATTCAACAATGGAATGTCTTAAATTGGTAAAAATGGATGAGCTGGAAGTATTGGCGGCATAATTTTGAATTTAAAAAATGAAGATGCTGTCCGTAAAGCACTATTGGTCTCTATCTAATTCAGCAGCATAACATATAAGAAAACATAGATGAAAGTCACTTCCACTGGAAACAGATCAGGTTGCAAACATCAGAGTGAGCTCATTAAACAGTTGTGGGAACTGGCCCCCTTATTCGGGGTGCTGAGAGAACCTTTCAGCCCTTCTCAGTGGGAACTCTTTGGTTGGACGCATTCTTAATGCTTAAACAACAGAAAAATGGTAATGTTTTGTAATTGGTCCATCCACTGGCTTTTAGTTCCTAAAGCACTGGGAGAAATTTCCAAAGACTCGAGAGTGGAGAACATTTTCTACAGAAGGGATGTTGGGAAAGGGGCTCCCTGCTCACCCAAATCCTGCTTGCACCCCTGAGAGGCTCCGGCCTGTACTCGCCAGCCTGCCCTTCTCGGTGCTCCCTCTGATGAGATTTCCATTCTCGGTGGAGGAAGGTCCCCACACTGGCACTCCGCTTCGCCTCCTGCTTCCCTTCCTGCCCCGCTGCCTCATTTCTCTTATTCAAGCTAGGCAAGTGCTCTACCACTGAGCTCCATCCCTGTCCTTGTTCAAGTTACTGTATTTTCAGACAAGGCCACACTCAGCTGCACTGGCTGGCCTCAAACTTGGATCTAAACTTTGGGCTAATGAAGGAAATGTTGAGAAGAGTGAAACAGCTTAAAAGATGCAGCAGAAAAACTGGCTGGAGCCGAGGATGCAATGCAAAGAGCGGGTGTGCTGTTCATGGCACCGTGAACCCCGCCTTCCTCCTTCCTGGAAGAACTTAAACCAACTTCAATTGGTCGTCCAGTATCTCACACCCACATACCCTGCAACTTCTTCCCTGAGGAGGTCCGGAAACCCCGAAGTTTCCTTCCATCACTTGAAATCCCTTTTTCCCAACTCAGTGTCTTAGAATCTTATTTGTGCTCCTATTTATTGTCTCCCCAAATTTAAAACCGATTGTATGCTCTGGGGTATGAGTAACTCTGCAAATACTAAAATAAAAAAGACTCCTTACTTGGAAGTGCTTCTCTAGTAGGAAATGAGACTTTGGCCCCACGACCACATTCGCCTCCCAAATGCTCCCCAGACTGTTGGCATTTGTTATCTCAGCGAGACCAGGGACTGGACAGGAAACCACTATTTTTTTACATAGACATTTGACTTAAAATCAGTGTGTTTACGGATATTTTATTCAGCACATTCCTTAAAAAAATTTAAACAAAATAATTAGGAAAGATCTAGAAAAGCTGGTGGAATTTTTTATTTTTTTTAACCTGACATGGAACAGCCAACATGGCAGAGATCAGTTTCTATTCTTCTCAGCCCTTGGTCCTCACTGTAGGAACAAAACCCTAGGAAGAACCTTCGGCCCTAAGTTCTGTCAGGGTCCAAATTGCCCTTCCTTATTCCACACTGACCGAAAGTGACAGCTGGCGAATTAGATGGGGAGAGAAGCTTCAGACGGTGGAGAAAAAATCCTCTCCTTTCTCTGTCTTCAGTTGATGGCTGTTTTCACCACTTGCCAAGACTGGAAAATAGGTCGCTGATGGCTGTGTTTCCCTCCTGAGAAGGGGCAGAGCAGCTATTAGGAAAAGATGCCCACAAGTTCCCCGTGAGACCTCAGCCACCCCAGCAATCCCCGGAACTGCGTGTGTCAGAATCCCAGCAAGAGGGAAAAACTGGCTCTCCATTTGCCGAAAACTAAAGCTAGACCCATCTCTATCACCATGTACTAAATTAAAATCTAAATGGGTCAAAGATCTGAATATTAAAACAGAAACACTAAATCTATTGGAAGACAAATTGGGTAGAAACCTTGGAGACATAGGAGTAGGTAGAGAATTCATGAACAGGACTCAAACCGCACGGGAAATACTTCCCAGAATCAATAACTGGGACCACTTCTTATTAAAAAGTTTCTGCATGTCAAAAGAAATCTCCAGCATAGTGAAAAGAAAACCCACAAACTGGGAAAAGATTTTAGTGAACTCTCTCTCAGACAAGGGACTCTTGTCTAAAACATATAAAGAATTAAAAAAACTCAGACCTCCAAAATTCAAAGATCCAATCCAAAAATGGGCATCTGAGATGAATACGCAATTCTCAGATGAAGAAATGCAAATGGCAAATAAATACATGAAAAAATGCTCATCATCATTGGTCATTAGAGAAATGCAAATTAAAACCACACTGAAATACCATCTCACTCCTGAAAGAATGGCCAGGATCAAGAAAACCAACAACAAATGCTGGAGAGGCTGTGGGGAAAAAGGAACTCTCCTACACTGTTGGTGGGAGTGTAGACTGGTACAGCCTTTGTGGAGGTCTGTCTGGAGATTTCTCAAAAAGCTGGGATTGGAAGTCCCATTTATTCCAGCTATTCCACTTTTAGGGATATTCCCAGAAGAACTGAAAGCATCATACCACAGTGATATATGTGCACCTATGTTTATAGCAGCACAATTTGTAATTGCCAGATCTTGGAAACAACCCAAGTGTCCATCAACTGAGGAATGGATAAAAAAGTTGTGGTATTTCTATACAATGGAATATTATTTAGCTATAAAGAAGGATCACATTGAGATATTTATTAATAAATGGGCACAGCTTGAGACCATACTCATAAGTGAAATAAATAAATCTCGCATATATGAATACCGAATAGTTTCCCTAATGTAAGTAATGATTCAAATATATAAAAATATGTGGTAATCATGATTCCCCATTATGTGGCCTTGAAGCCTTATAAAATTTTCACTTATTAATTAGAAAGGCTTTATTCTGGGCTTCTTGATATAGAAATATTTGAAGCTATAGTATATGAAGTTTTATCCAAATATTTCAAGGAAAAAGACAGACACTATGGTAACTACTATTCTTTAAAAAAATTATTTAGTTATTTCTTATGTTTATTTTAATTAAGGGGAAAAATTAAAAAAATTAGGATATATAATAGTAACTCTTTTTGATTTCCTATTAACTTGTTTTGAAGTCCTGTAATACTCCCATGATCTTGTTTTGACTGATTAGACTCTGTTCCATTCTGTGCGATAGTATCAAGTTTGAGGGTATAGGCAACTACTTTGAAGGCAATAAGATTCACTAAGATGCCCATTCTGGTTTGACTATTGTCTCCTTTGGAAGTCCTGTAATGTTTACAATGCCTAAGTTTTATTGGTCTTGTTCTCTACTGTTTTGTCCAACTTTATAATATCTAATGAGATAAACAATTCTTTTTAAGGAAACAAGAGACAACATTGATAACCATTGTTAATAACCTTGTACTCTGTTCTACATCATGTGCTATGTTTATCCTTGGTTTTGACTGACAGCTTTGTTTTGCCATATTTGACTTTATTCTCTCCCCCCTAAAAAAGTAATAAGAACTAAGGAGTAATAAAATCCAAAATGTGTAAATTTTGTTGTATAAAAGAGAGGGGGAAAAAAAAGAGCTCTAACGTATATAACAGCAAGTGTGTTTAGGGGTGTTAAATAGCTGACTA